CTTGAGGTCTGTGGAACCACCAGAATGTTCTTAACAAAACAAGTGTGTCCTGATCAAGAAGCTGGATCAGGACACATTTACACTGTGTAAGAGGTGGTTTAAACACAAATTCTTACCCAAGCTCCATGTCTTCATTCACTCTCAAAACAGCAAATATATTCATGGTATCACCAAATTATTTGAGTTGCAGAAGACCTTAAAGATCATCTCATTGCAATTCCCTGCAGTAAATAAAATACTCTTAAATGTAGGATGTTATTTTGCAGTAGTCTTCCTCCTTTTTTACTTTTAGAATTAAATTAGATGCATTAGATTCCCTCTACTTCTGTTTGACATTGAACTGAGAAGAGATAAGAGAAGGGAGTTGGCAAATTCCTGTCAGACTGGATACAAGTGAAAACAAGTAGCTGGAAGCATCTCAGTGACATCCTTCAGTGGCTGAAAGATAAGTTTTCCCTCCCTGCCTCGGCTGCTTCTGCTGTATCTGAGATAGATGGGAATTTTTGGCTGTTGGCCAAGGGGCTGCCTGCACCTCAAATGGCAGCATCCTTGGGGATGGAGAGGTACTTGGGACAAGGGATGGAGGGACAGGACACAGGGAATGGCTTCCCACTGCCAGAGGGCTGGGATAGATGGGAATTTGGGAAGGAATTGTTGGCTGTGAGGGTGGGGAGGCCCTGGCACAGGGTACCCAGAGAAGCTGTGGCTGCTTGACCCCTGGAAGCTTCTCTGTGCCAGGGCCTCCCCACCCTCATGAGGAACAATTCTTTCCAGATATCTTCACCTAAATTTCCCCTCTTTCAGTTTGAACCCATTCTCCCTTGTCCTGCCACTCCAGTTCCTGATGAACAGTCCCTTTCCAGCTTCCCTGCCACCCTTCCAACACTGGAAGGTGCTGTGAGGTCTCCACACAACCTTTTCCAGGCTGAGCAGCCTGAAATTGCCCAGCCTGTCTCCTTAGAGAAGGTTCTCCAGTCCTCTTATCACCCTCTGGACTTGCTTCACCAGTTCCATGTCCTTCCCATGCTGGGGACACCAGAACCATGTGCAGCATTCCAGGTGGGGTTTGACAAGAGCAGAGGGTGAAAGTCACCTCCCTGTTCTTGGCACACAAGGTTCCTGTCACGTTTTGTTGTGGGAGATCCTTCCTGGCTGTGTGGGTGGTGCTGTTCTTGGTATTTACCTTTTCCTCACCTCTGGGATGGACAGGAGCACTTGGGTGTGAGCACCCAGTGTGTCCTTGCAGCCAACCAGGCTGCTGTGGGTGCTCTATTTCCCCATCTATTCCATTCCCAAGGGATTTTGCATCAGGCTAAAAATCTTTTCATGGGTTTCTGGGCCCAGCACGCAGCTGCAGCATTAATGGGCTCATGTGTTCACAGCACAGTGATGCAGGCTGCACCCTTAATGTTTTCCTTGGGGAAACATTTGTCCCATTTATTCTCTTTGTGGTCAAAAGTACATGACACAAGCTGCAGCTCTGTGTAGCTGTGCTGTGTCCCAAATGCTGCACTCTGGGTTTTGTGGGGCTTCTGTTCCCTCACATTTGGATTAAGCAAGACCCAAGCTCTGGGTTTGTGTGTTTGTGCAGCCCTTCAGAAAATGAGATACTTAGCTCAGACTAAAGGTCTTAAATTAAGCTTGATGATACATAGCCCTGTGTAATCCATAATCTTAAAATTGTATCTGTGATAGAACTTCTCAGATTATATCCTTATGGCTGCTTTAACCCAAATACTCAATAATATGCCCTATATTGAGGGCTGGGCAGATCAGCTGTGTTGTTGCAATATAATCCTGCCTTGGAATTGGGCTGGGGAATGTGAGCAGGGCTGTGTCACATCTCTGAGTGCTAAACTCAGACTCTGAATCCAGGGTTGCTGCTCCCTTTGTTTTACAAGGAGGAGGTTTTTGTAGGAATAGTAATTAGCCTGCCCTGTAAGCAGAGCTCCCCTAATGGCAGTTTCCAGTGAAGTCCTGCAGCAAAGTGCTCCATGAGCATTTCTGAGCACAGAAAGCCATGAAAATGCTCCTGTGTCTCTCTGAGGGGGATCCAGAGGGCCTCTCTGGAGTCTGCTGTATCTGGATCAAAGCCCCACTGAAGGAGATTCCCTCAGTAATATCCACCCAGGAGTAACAGCCTAGAATCCACACCAAGCTGGCTGCCAGGACTTGGGAGAGCCTTTATTTCAACTAAGCCAGGTGGCAGAGGAAAAGGGGTCATGTTGTCATTGCTGACTTGGATGACCCCGTGACACAAGGGGTGACCTTGACTTCAATAATCATCCTGCTCTCCCAAGTGCCCATCATTCCTGTTCTGTCAAAGAGATACAGCAGATCCAGGCATGAGTAAAAAAGGCTGATGGATTTGTGTAATAAATAATTGGTTTTGAGAGACAATGCTCAGAAATTTGAGAGAAAATGCTCAGACCTTGACTTCAGTAATCATCCTGCTCTCCCAAGTGCCCATCGTTCCTGTTCTGTCAAACAGATACAGCAGATCCAGGCATGAGCAAAAAGGGGTGGTGGATTTGTGTAATAAATAGTTGGTTTTGAGAGACAGTGTTCAGAAATTACTATTTTTAAACTTGCTTCTCAAGCCCTGTGAGCAGCAGGAGCTCTGAGGGTAATCCTGTATGGCTCCCATGTCTTTCTCCTGCTCTGTTCAAAAGAAATCAGTGTTGCTTGTCACAAGACTTTACTCGTTGCTGATGTCAAGAGTTTCCTAATGTCATTTGGAAGGTCCAGGACAAGGGGAGTATCAGTGGCTTGTTGTGTGTTTACTGCTTTTCTCCAGCCTCTGATGTGGGGAGGCTGCATAACCTGCAGTCATCCACTGGGGCCGTGCTGGTATTTTAAAGGTCACTCCAGTAATTTTGTGCTTGCTTAAAAACAAACAAACAAACCCCCCCCAACTTTTAAATTCTGCACATAACAGAGTAGAAGAATTGCTGTTCTCTGCTCATTCTTTTGAGGAAGCAAATGTTTGCTCTGCTGTCCCAGCAACCAGAGAGAGCTGGGTTGGGCAAGCCCAGGGGCTGGACTCTGAAATTTCCTCTTGAATAACACTCCTGAAGTTCTTGTTCAAGTGGTTTTGGAAATTTTTATGCTGCTTGGGTACTTTGTTTTTAAGAGGCAGTGACACCCAGAAAGAGGGAGAGGTGTCACAAGAAAAATAAGCCCGTGAGAGAATGAGAAAGACATGCAGCATGAGGAAAATCAGTAGCTTTGAATTTTAAATCAACTCTGAGCAGCATCTCAAATCATGCCCCTGAGAGGGTTTATAAAATGACTTTGGGGTCTGTAAGCAAAGAGATATCTGAGGAGAGAAATGAACTTTTAATACAACATTCCATTGATTAATGATGGCACAATTAAGCTGAAATCACTACAACTAACAGTCCTTGTTTTTCTTTTGTCTTTTTTTTTCCCTCCCCTGACCTTGTACCAAATCCTTTCCACTCCTGATGAATTGGGGAACAGCAGAACTCACCCAAAGGTAAGAGCTTTCATCAGTGTGTGAGAGTTGTCCTATCACTTGCTCCCTCTTGGGTTATCCAGATATTAAAAGCATTTTGCAGAGCTCTGTGGCTGATCAGCTGCTGAGTAAGAAACTCGAAGCATCTCCTTGCTGCAGAAATGCTCTGTACAGCCCGTGCCAAGAAATGAGTCAGAGGAACAAATGAGAACATCCACACTCAGCACTGCAGACTCTGAATGGAGGATATTTGTTCTTTGTGGGCTTTTAAAAAGCATTTTCTGGTATTTGTGTTTAAAGCAAACTCATTTTGTTTTTATGGTCCCGTGACTTCGTGCTTGTTCTGAAGACTCTGCCCTGGCAGATCAGGGTTCAGCTCCATGGATGTGCTCATGCAGCCAGTGATGTTTTATTAAATGTTCTGAAGGCTTGGGATGCTTTAATAATATGTTTAGCTGTAAAATGAATTCAAAGTAAAAAAAAAAAAAAAAAAAAAAGAGCTCCATAATTTTTAATCCACAAGCTGTTGTTTCCTCAGTTAGAGGATATAAAATAACTACTTTATCTCTTGATGCTGGTACATCAGTGTAGTATGGAGGGGGAAACAATGTATTTTTGAAGATAAATTATTTCAATTTCAAGGATTTTGCTGTGTTAAGCATTTTCATAAATGTTGGTAGTCAGCAGTGTAACAATGCAGGCCATCCAAAGGGGAAAGAGCAGTTTCCATTAAGCTTAGAGGGGAAATCCCCAGGCAGAGAGCCCCACATTGCACTTCCCTTTTCCTACATCTTACAGAATAAATTTTGTGAATGTAGGTCAGACATTACCCTAATTAATATTTTTCCTTGCAGTTACATACCCAGGGGAGCTGTTTTTGCAAACATCTGTCCCAAAATACACATTGTATTATTTCAGGTCATCTTTCAGGACGAAAGGTGCCTGTGGACCTTTCGATGGATTTATGGCAAAATTGAAAATTTTCTGTTAAGAATATTATAGTGCTGCTCTTTTCATGATAAAACTGATTTTTTTTTCCATTATTCCTTGCAAATATTAGACTTTGATGACTGCTTTGGTTTGTCATGGAATGTAAATAAATACATACTCCTCTTGTATGGAAAGAGCTTCCTACCCGAAGGCTTGTTTTTAATTTATGCAGACAAGAGGCACGGAGAGATGGGAGGCAGAAAGAGCTAGAGGACATCTGTCAGTTTGCAAAAGAGAAACTCTGGTGAAAAATGCATTGCAAGGATGGGTTTGGAGGGAGAAATGGAGAGGTCCTTGACATCCACGGGGTTGGCATGTGGAGAGTGTGGAGTAGGGTTGGCACAGAAAGGAACAAATAGAAACAAGGAACAAATAAAAGCATGCAGGAAAATGAAGTGTTTGTTTAGGCTTCAAACTGCTAGAAAATAAGGAATTCAGTGGGAATGTGTGTTGGGTTCAGAATGTCAGAATGTGAATAACGTGTTGGATTTGGCTGTAGCTGTTCTGAGGTGTCCTGGTTGTTCTCCTGCAGGTGTTTGCATATGATCACTGCTTTTGGTCTATGGATGAATCTGTCAAAGAAAAATATGCAGGTAATAACATTTACTGTGGCTTGGTTGTCTCCAAGTGGGAATGATCTGATTAAAATACAGTCCTTGCTGCAGGGCACAGGCCATATGGCACAAAGTGCTGTCCCTTCCATGACTGGCTGCTGTCAAAAAAGGGAAAATCTTCAATCATTCCAGTTCCTTTTCTCTAAAGATGACAGCAGCAATGGGCACTGCCACCCCTTTGCAGTGCAGAGAGTGGAGAAACCCAGCACAATGATGCTTTACTCCTGTTTACAGCTTTATTTAAAATGCTGCTCTAACTCCCTCATTTTAAATGCTTTATTTAAAATACTGCTCCAACTCCCTCATTTTAAATGCATCAAACCAATTTATTTCTTTTGAGGAGCATTGTTATGTATAATTTCATGTTTTTCAGTGCTGATGGGAGTTTGGCATCATAGTAAAACCTAATAAAGGAATATTAATAGTAATAAAAACCTCATTTCATTTGAGTGTATGTGAATTCAGATGCTTTAGTGAGAATGTGTAATGTATTCAGTTAAAAGTTTACTATGTATTATTTTTATGCATTTTGACATATAGTTATGGTAAAATATGAACTGTATTTGGAGTTATCAGTCCTATAATTTATTCCTTTCACAGTTGTTATTCTTTAAAATTTGGGATCAATTGAACTTAGTATTTATTTCATAAAAATCATAAGAAAAATCAAAGAGACGTACACTTCTTTTTAATTTCTTTAACAAATAACTAATGAATAATAGCCTATCAAGCCACTGAGAAAAATGTGACACTTTCAGCCATATAAATTACATAGGAATGTTACATATTTTGTTTCTCAAACTAAAGGTGGTGCCTATATAACTGAATTTTTGGTCTGTTATACAGTGGAAGTGTTACCCCAGCTGAGCCTGGCACAGTTCTTGGTGCTTTTGCTGGGGAATTTAGCATGAATTTGGCTGTAAAGATAGGAACTTCAATAAGAGAAAGGAAGAGCTTAAAGGAACATTATTTGAGACAACTTTTCAGTCCATAAAGTTCTGTCATGCCTTGTTCAAACTTGAGGTTTTTGGGTTATAAAATTAGTTCTGAAAATAAATTTTCTTCAAGTTACTACCCAGATATTTTAAGCCTTCCTTCCTCTGCTTGGAAAATAATCCAAAAAGCTCAAAGTTCAATTACAAAAGAAATGTTACACCTTACTTTTTGCCAGTGCAAAGTACCCTGTGAATATCCATATCTTCCACATACTTGTGATTCCTTCTCTGCAAAAATCTCCTCATGATAATATCCAATGTCTTACACAGTAAAATTTTCCAGTGCTCTGCTGATTTTCTTGGATTAAGATCAACTGACTGTCATTAAAATGCACAGCTTGAGTATATTTTGAGGAGGTGTCGTTCCCCAGCAGATTAAATTCTGCAGTTGGTCATAGATTCTCTGCTGATAAAACTTCTGAGTATGAACCTTCATAAGATGTTGCTTTAAGCACATTCAGGTATTTCCATGATAATCCCAGCCCCTAATTTTTACAGCAGCATAAATCTGGAGCACATCTTCTGCTCCTTTCCAGGGAGCAAACACTGGATGTGATTTAGGCAGCAACAGCAGGAAAACCCTCAGAGCTTCTACCTAATTGGGAAAGAATCCAAATTGAGGGACAAAAAGCTCTTGCTGTGTTACAGTGTTGGCTTGTGGGTTCTATTTTCTAGGTCAAGATGTTGTTTTCAAGTGCCTTGGAGAGAATATTCTTCAGAATGCCTTTGAAGGCTACAATGCTTGTATCTTTGCCTATGGGCAAACAGGTGAGTCCCAGAGTAAGGGAGAAATGTTTCCTCCAAAGGTGTTGTGTTCTGGTTCTTTCCACGGCTCTTGTGACATTGTTGGAGGAGAAATACCTTCTAATGTAGATAAGAAATGTTTTCCTCTTTTGTAACATCAGATATGAGGTGGGCAGGATGAGAAATAAGGTTTTGTTGCTGCTGGCTACCCTTATTTCTCACACTTCATATGATAATCTTTGGCGTGACCATGATCGTCCTTGAGCTCAGAGCATTGCTCAGATTTTCTGCCTCTGTGCTTAAAATAATCTTGAATTGTCATTTTAATGTAATATTTAAAGAGTAATATGAGGGGTTTTCTCATTAGTGGCTTGTCATCTACAGTAAGGCTGTATCTATCTAAAAGTTCTCCAGCACTCTGAACCAAATTTCTTGTTTTACTTTTTCCTTTTAATTAAAATAATCTTTAGCTCAGTGGTGTTTGGGTTACTTTAAGGCAGAAAATGGAACAAATACCTTCTACTAAAATGCAAAAAAAATTTAACCTCTTTTATTTCCTATCAATATTCTGCACAGCAGGAACCTTTGTTGCATGTTCTCTAATCACAGCTTCCCTCACACAGGGTCTGGAAAATCCTACACCATGATGGGTACTGCTGATCAGCCTGGATTAATCCCTAGACTTTGCAGTGGACTCTTTGAAAGAGCACAGAAAGAAGAAAATGAAGAGCAGAGTTTCAAAGTGGAAGTATCCTACATGGAGATTTACAATGAGAAAGTCAGAGATCTCCTTGACCCCAAAGGGTGAGGAATTTGTGTGTGAATGGCACTGTAGAATTTGTCCTACACTCTTCCTTTACATAACCAGTTTGCCTTAATGGATCCCATCTAAAACATTTGCCTGGGATGGCTTTTGCTGCTTCCTGATCTCAGCATCTCCTCATTATAAATCAAAATAAAGTAGCAAGACTAAAAGCCTGGAGTAAATGTACCTTTTGTGAAGTGACGACACTGTCTGTGTCAGCTTTTTATGTGTTACAAAGCTTTTTTTGTGTTTGCATTCTGGCCCTTGCTCTGTGCTTCAGTGGGTATTTGTGAGACCATCCTGTTTGAGATGTGTCAGTGAGAAATGGACTTTGTGTAAATGTTGTCTTAAGTCAGTCATGTGCTTATAAATCCCTTTTTTTTCCCCCAACCAGAAGCCGTCAGTCATTAAAGGTTAGAGAACACAGTGTTTATGGCCCTTACGTAGATGGCCTATCCAAACTAGCTGTTGCTAGCTACAAGGTAAGGATCAACTTTATGAAAGGCTTATCTTCACATCCTAAACCCCAGGTGCTGTCCCTTAAGCTGGACAGAACTACTAAATGCTCCTTATCAGTAATCTTAGAGCAAGAGAGCTGCAGATTGTTGTGATGTGATCCCTGGGGAGGAGAGCAGAAACTCCCTTCGTCTTGTGCTGCTCAGTAATTCTGGAAGTAATCCAGCTGCTGAATGGAACAGATTTCCTCTCAGCATTAAGATGAGTGCAGACTGTCATGAGAAAGTGTTCTGTGATTAATTACAGGCCCAGGATTAAGCAGAGACAGGCTCTCAGTGCCCCACTGTGTCACTTTTTGCCTGTCATGCTCTACTCAGTAATTTGCTTTCCCAGTAGCACATGCTGGAATTATAAACTAATGGTTGTTTACCAAGCAAATACTTGAGAGCATCACATGAAACTGGCTTGCAGGACAGTAAATGTTTATATGTGCATTCACAAAATGCCCTGTTTTTTAAGGAGCTTTAACTTACTGTGGTGAAAATGGATAAATATGGGATGGAATCTGTCAGCTTAACCAAAACATGAAAACAGTGCAATTGCAGTTTCTCCAGGTGTTCATCCAGCTCTCCATGGTGGTTTCTGCTAAGACAGGACACATTTCATGCTTTGCCTTTCCATGTTGCCCAGCAGCTTTTTGTAATCCAGAATTTGGAGTCAGTGGTCTGTGCTGGTCCTTTGTTTGACTGTTTATTTGAGTTGTTTTAGCATCACCCAGCTACAGATGCAGAAATAGAAGTTTAGCCCAAGACCCCAAGGTTTTAACCATTTTACACAATTGCTGTGAAACCCCAAAGCAGGGGAGCTGCACCTTTCTCATCACAAAAGATCAAAGTACTTAATAAGCTCTTAAAATTTGGAGGAATATAATGTCCTTTTCAACATGGTTCTGTTTTATAAACCTCTGAGCCTTCTGTCAGTATTCCAGATCCTCAGACCATGACAGCTTGAGGCTAAAATGAGACAAGGTTCAAACACAAATTGCTGTTCCTCACTTCTTTCTCTGCTTTTGAGTGTTGCTGTGTGCAGCCAGGTGTACTATTTTTGTTGATAATTTAATATCTAGGGTGAGGAGTGGGTGAAGTCATGACACTGTGGAGTTTCTAGAGCCAAAAAACTTTAATTTTTTTTTTTTTCCTCACATAATCCTGAATAAACAAATGGGAGGCTTAGCAAGAAAATGCTGTATTTGACCAAGATGAGGTGATTTTTGGAGGTAGTTGAAAAGGATGTCAATGCAGATATACTCATGGCTGTGAAAATTGTATTTAGGACATCGAGTCCTTGATGTCTGAGGGCAACAAATCTCGGACAGTGGCTGCCACCAACATGAACGAGGAGAGCAGTCGGTCCCACGCAGTCTTCAAGATCATCCTCACCCACACCCTCTATGATGTGCAATCAGGGGTAAGAAAATCCAGCTGCAAGCTCCAAATGTCAGGCTGGGATGTGTCTCTTGCTGTAATGTATTTTACAGGAAAAGAAACACTTCTTTGGAAGCAGCAGTTTGTAGTACAGGCTAAATATAAAATAGGTGAAAAATGGAAATAAACTTGAGTGTACCTTTGGTGATCCCCTTCATGTGGTTATTTAATGCAAATTGATATAAATTACCAGCTCACTAAATTATGCAAATTTGTTTAAATTATCAACTTTCTAAATTGAAAAAAACAGTAATATTAAATATTTTGCATTGAATGACATTAATGATTTTATGTGTAAATATTAAATATTGATAAAGCATTTAAAGCTGCAAATATTTTAATTTATGTTGCCTTATACATAAATAGGCCTTGAAGGGGTGCGTGAAATACATTATTTCAATATTATTTAGTCCCTCACAGAAAATGGTGATAAACTGGAATTGAAAGAAGTATCTTTAAACTTCATTGATAAATTCTGTGCTTGGATAATTCTTTAATGTTTTCAAAGCCTTGGAGAAATTTGTGTCCACAGAGCAAATCTGAGCCTAAATATTGGAAAGCATAAAGAGAATTTGGGCTTTTTTTCATCCTAATTTCTCATTTTCCACCAATCTTCTTATCCACACAATTTTCCTCATTCTTTATTTGGATTTTTTTCCCCTTTGCACTTCAAATCAGCATCATACTGTGCTGATTTTTTTGATTTTTCCATATTTTCTCACTCCAGTTTTGCTGTGGCTCTTGTCCATGCTTTTCATACCTGGTTTTTGTGTGGTCCTGCTCAGCCTGGATGCAGTGGTTGTGACTTTCCATGTTCTCTACACCTTCCAGTGACCCCTGTGTGAACTTCTGCGACAGATTTCCCTGTTCTCCTATCTGCTGGTCTTTTCAGTGCTGGAAATGGCACTTTCCATGATCACATCATATTTTGATAGGTTTAGGGTGTAATTTTTGAGAACTTAGTGATTTTAATTATCCCGTTCATTTTATGAGGATGCAGCACTTTGTATTTGGGATCCTGGGGTGCTGGAGGTGCAGATGCTGCAGAAGAAACGTGATGTGAGCAAGATGTTCTCAAAGACAGTTGGCTTTTCAATTTCAGATTGATTTAGGGGGTTCATGGAGTGTTTCAGAATGTCATTTTGGGTCAAATGAGGTGAAAGGATTTGTAACAAAATGTGCATTACAGGTTTAAATACTCACTTAGCTGGGATCGTGTTCCGGGAGGCTGATGAGAATAAAGGAGACTTTGCAATTGTCATAATTTATGTAAATTATAACATGCTTCTCATTAGGTTAATTCCTGGTCACTGGAAAACAGAAGAAACTCTGGTATAAAATCTGAGGATTTTAGGAGACTGTTTTCAAGATGGGATTGTGAACCTTATGTCTCTGCTTGTGACTCCCTTGCCATAACTCTGAATTTTTCATGGTTCAGCAGTTCATTAGTGTGCTCTCCTCTTGAGATTTCTGAGATATTTGAAAATATCAGAGTACCTGGTTTCACAATATCCATGACTTCCCTGTTGTTTCTGAAGCAGCAGGTAGTGACTTAGCACAGGGCACTGTTCAAATCCAGCCATTCTCAGAGGGGCTGGAACAAGAGCTTACACCAAAAATGAAGTTTGATTCCTGTTGTAAAATACATCAAACAGTGTAACTTGATTGAAGTGTCCTAACAGGGGCTGTTCTCTGGTTCCTTCCCCAGACATCAGGTGAGAAGGTGGGCAAGCTCAGCCTGGTGGACTTGGCAGGTAGTGAGAGGGCAACTAAAACTGGTGCTGCAGGAGACAGGCTGAAAGAAGGAAGCAACATTAACAAGTAAGGCTTTGAAATTGTTTGTTTTCCTTTTTTCATCACCATTTCCTGCTAAATACAGCCTACTTGTAAAACAGTCTGAAGCTCCTGTAGTCAATTTTCTCATTTTCTTCCCTCTGCAAAGCTCTTGTAGTCAATTTTTCTCCTTTCCTTCTCTCTAATTCTCCTTTTAACATGCAGTACTCTTAGATATGGGAATAAGATCTCCATCTTTTTAAAAAATATTTGTGTTCCTGCAGCTGCCATGAATTTCATTGTGAGGACCTGATTATTAAGACTGAAAACATACTGAAAAAAAAAATAAAAGTGGTGCTTTTGTGAAGAAGAAACGATCAAAATTAAATGAGGAATTTTTTCCTCAGAGCATGTTTTCAGAGAGAAAGTCACTGTCTAAATATGCATTTGACTTATGAATATTTACCCTTGTTAATGACTGTTTGTGTTCTCTGGGCAGATCCCTCACAACTCTGGGGCTGGTTATTTCTGCCCTGGCAGATCAGGCTGCTGGCAAGAACAAGAACAAATTTGTTCCATATCGTGATTCTGTGCTCACTTGGTTACTTAAAGTAAGTAAGGGATTTTTTTTAATATTCTTTTTTAAAGTGAAATAAAAGAGAGGAAAGGGGGAGAAGAGTCTCATTGAATGAAATCAAAATTCTGTGCTTTTTGCTTCATTTTCTGGGTTTGATGTTAACCATAATTGTCTTTGGAAAATGAGCTGGATGTAAGCCATTAATATCTCTGCAGACTAAGTATGTGTCTTCTGCTGACCTGCAATGGCCTAAGGATTAAGGAACTTCAAAAATAAAATTAAAAGCAGTGTATATTTTATGGGTCAGTGTAAGTACAGCTTCACACACAACCTTGGGGCTAATTTAATTTGGGTTATTTCTGCATACAGCTGATTTTACATCCTGGTATGCTTAGCTCTGAAGATGTTGATTAAGACAATTACCTTTTCCTAATTGTCTAATTTAATTGCTAAGATATTTTACTTTTGTCAGCAGAGTATAATTGCAGAGCATTATCCCAGTTACAGTCTGAGGAACAGGTCAGGAGACTTCAGAGATGCTGTTCATGTGAAATGAGCAGTTAAATCATTTTCTGAACTGTGCAGAACTCTTATTTGGTGGTTTGTTTTTTTGGGGGAAAAAGGAGTGTTTCATGATGGCACTTGGATGAACATGGTACTTGGTGTACAGTCTAAATGAAGAAACCCAAATTGTTAAATATGAGATCTGTGTAAGTCAAATTTCTTTTTTTCCCTTTATGCTCTGTTTAGCTGTTATCCAGCAGCAATTGAGATACTTATTGGTAGAAAGAAATAATCTGAGAAGAAATTGATTTGTGGCATCACCAGCCTTTCTTTGTCCTCTTACTTTTTTGTAGGCGATCTGGCTATACTTTGTTGTCTTGGTTTCCCCACCCTTTCTTAGCAGTGTTTCTAAGTGTTGTTTAAATTTCATATCCCTGGGATTTAACTGCACATGTGGAAAGAAAAAGACAAAGTGACTTGCACATTGTACAGAAGTGTGGAGATGTAAAAAAATGACATTTTTCCTTGCAGATGTTTGAAAACAAGTTCAATTCAATGCTTAAGTAAAACAAAATCCCTGCTCCTGTAACCTCTTGACACACAAACCTTCATTTTTCTCAGTGCTGCCTTATAATAGACCTTTTAGCATGACATGTGAAATTATTTATCCCTAACAGATCTGGATATCCAATAGCCATGTAAAAATCTTAATGGCACAACACAAACAGTGTCTGAGTAAAACAGGTTCTCACAGCACAGTGTTCTTGCACTGAGGTTTTTTCAGTGTTTAAATACATCTTTGCCTCTCTATATTTACACTGAGTTTTTACTCTCATTTAGAAGAAACAAATTATTTTTTTGGCTCTCTGCAATTTGACAACAAAGCCACTGCACAGCTTCACTTCGCCCCGGTGCGCTCTGGATTCCTGATGTGGCTGGAGCAGGGTGGAAACCTTCCTGGTGAATTTCCAGCCTTGTTGGAATTAGTTCTGCTGCTCCATTTCTAAACAAATCCAGGGAGCAGACTGCAATTCCTGTTCAGCACCTGTCTGAGGCATTGTGGCCACGATGCCGCCGGCCGGACGCGGCGCAGGAACGAGAGCCCACTTTTGTTCTGCCTCCTTTCAGGCAAACCCTCTTTGTGTCCAACATCGAGGCTTGGGGGCTTTTGGGGTTTTTTAACAAACAAGCTCTCACTGAAGCTTTGTTTTTGAAAGGGGGAACATTCATATATATATTTTTTTTAATTAGAGATCAAAGAAGGGATTTATTCCCTTAAAGGGGCCTGTTTGGAGAAGCCATGAGATTGAATTGCAGTCAAGAGATGACAATCTGACTCTATGTTTCAGAAGGCTGATTTATTATTTTATGATATATATTATATTAAAAGAAAATTATATATTAAAACTATACTAAAAGATAGAAGAAAAGATTTCATCAGAAAGCTAGCAAGGAATAGAAAGGAATGATAATAAAAACTTGTGACTGACCAGAGAGTCTGAGACAGCTGGACTGTGATTGACCATTAATTAAAAACAACCACATGAGACCAATCAAAGATGCACCTGTTGCATTCCACAGCAGCAGATCATCATTGTTCACATTTCGTTTCTGAGGCCTCTCAGGAGAAAAGATCCTAACGAAAAGATTTTTCATAAAATATGTCCATGATAGTGGGCTGAGCTTTCTCCCTGGCTTTCAACTTGTAATTATGATACCAAAGCAGACTAAATGTGTTCTAACTGCAGGAATATCTGTCATACAGTATCTCTCCACAAGTCTGAGAAATCAGTTCAGGAGACCTCAAGATCTGAAACTTTTTGCTTAATTTTGTTGAGGATTTTAGACAAAAGTGCCATTTTGAAAAATATTGCTTGAGCAGTGGCTTCAGGTTATGTGCAGGGAGCAAAATATCTTTGTCAATTCTGTAACTTCTGGTTTTAATCAAATCGTATTGGCACAAACATCTTGTTTTCCTGTGTTAATCGGAAGCCTGATGGCTGCTATTAAAAATACAGTTTCTGAGCTCTACATTTTGAGTTGTTTTCACAATAATCTTACTGCTAGAGGAGAAAAAGCTAGTTAATTCTTAGAAATAACTTCTTTATTTCCACTCTGTCTCTCTAACACATGCAAACCCAGCCTTGCCAGGCTGGTTTACAGACTCTTTTCACTAATGAGAGGCTGATTTGCTAATTTCTCACCTTTCTTGCTTATCATTAAAGAAACCAGTGAAATCAGCACATGGGGTTTATACATAAAACTTTATCAGACAGTCTGGCATTGGGCTTGAATTGCTACAAGAGGGACTTTGCCCAGTTTATAATGGGTGTATTGTGGGTTCTGATGTATCACTGTTACAGTGTTCTCAGCTGCCTCGACAGCAGAGCTGCAATTCAAATAATGAATTCATCCTATTTTGGAGCTAATTTGTGCAGAAGGACATTCCCAAAGGGCAAACAGTTAAGGTTGGTTTTGGAAGGGGAGTACCTGGCCAGCTCCCTGGCAAACTCCAGCTTTTTATGCTGAACAGGGATTGCAGTTGCAGGGTATCACTCCTAATTTTTGGCCAGGAAATCCCATGGAATGATTCATTAGTCTTAAAGTTTTCAGTTAAAAAAACATGTCTGTGGTACAGAGGGGACCCTCCCAAGCCATGGATTAATTTGGAGTAAACACTGGCTAATCCTTGGATGAGTAAAGTCACGGTGAGATCAGTCAGCAAACTGTTCTTTGCTGCTGATTTCTGCATAAATACACTTACCTGCCTGTGCTGACTGTGTTGAACACTATAAATATACAGAGATTTATGTTTCATATGAGTTCCATGCCCTTTTGCATGACCAGAGACAGCCAAGTGCTGCCAACAGCCTAACTCCTGTCAAACTGGTTTAGGCATCACGCAGCCAAAAGGAGAGTATTGGGCAAATACTTAAAGGGGCATTTTAATGATTGCTGGGGAAAGCTCCACGTGTGTTTTGGAACTGAAATGGTTTGACAAGCAGCTAATGCAGTCAGATTGTTCTAATGGCAATGCCTGACCTACATTTCATGGGTTATTGAAGATGAAAATTAAGAGCGTGGTTTGTCTCAGAAAAGGATATTGGGTTAAAAACAAACAAACAAAAACCCACCCCAAAATTCCAGACAAACCAAAGAAACCAAAGTGCCACACAGAAAAAAAAATCTGCTGTACAATTTAAACCAGAATATTTTATCTTCATGTATCTATATTTGGCTGAAATTGTAAACCATAGTCTTATGGTTAGTAAAAAGATTGAATCCTTCCTTGCTTCCTTCCATCCTTGTTTTGTGCCCTTCTCTCTCAACCAAATTCCAGGAGGGTAATTTCTTACATAACTCAGTTTAGATTTGTGAGTTGTGCCAGTGGGAGGAAGGAAAGGGCCCCAATCTGAATGTTTATAGGAGTAAAATCAGCTATATTGTTTATGAAGAGATATCTCAGTAATTTATTTCTTGAAGACATCTGTATTCTAGTCTTTAAAATGAGATAATCTGAATTCATCATGGTTTTTCCTGAGCTCCCTCAGTGGCATCTGAGAAGCTCAGTGCTGAAATGTTTACATTTTGGTTTGTAAACCTAAGCAGAAAACATAGAAAGAAAAGTTTGAATACTTTACCAAGCCCTGTAAAGCCCAAAACAAGGCCTTTTTTTGGTTCCTGTTGAAAAAAAACAAGAATGTCGAAATCCAAGAGTGACGTTTCCCAAACAAGCTTTCAAAAACAAACATTGAAACATCGCAACCTTTTCTTAACTCGCACGGCTTAAACTCTTAACCCAACAAACCAAAATAAAAATATTGATTCTAAACCACCCCTCCCAAACCATCCAGGACAGCCTCGGGGGCAACAGCAAGACAGCCATGGTGGCCACGGTGAGCCCAGCGGCCGACAACTACGACGAGACGCTGTCGACGCTGCGCTACGCGGACAGGGCCAAGAACATCGTCAACCACGCCGTGGTCAACGAGGACCCCAACGCCCGCATCATCCGCGAGCTCCGCGAGGAGGTGGAGAAGCTGCGGGAGCAGCTCACCAAGGCTGAGGTACGAACCTGAGCCTTGCAATCCCAGAAAACCCCCACCCAGGCTTAGCTGGCTCTCTGTTGTTATTATATTGCAGAGGTTCCATAGTGTTGTCTCCTTATTGCAAGTTTCATGCCTCCTTGATGTTTCTCATAGGCATCTCCTCTAAGCACTGACTCTCCGTTCTTCTCACAGTCGCCAACTGACTCCAGGTCCCCTTTTAACCAGCCAACCAACCAACCCACTCTTTTAAAGCACTCTTCTCATTGGCTACAGCTGTGGCCTGTTAAAGTCAGGCCTGTTCTTAATCTCTAATAATTGCCTCAGCTGCAACTTCTTAGGGGTAAGATTACTTTCTATACTACCTTTATTTTCTTATATTCCATCCCCCTACAGCTCTATAGAAGGCATTTGTCTTGGTTTGAAGACAGGTGTCTGCTAAGGAAGGCAGGAGCTTCCCTTGAAATGGAGAATGTAAACCCCTTCCCTCTGAATTGTTATGGTTTTGGAATTAAGGGGCTCTCAGGCAAAGACAGGGGAGTAGGAATAATAATTCTTTACTAGGAAAATGAAAAAGAAATACAAATGTAATAGTACAAAAAGAAAATACTACTGACAGAGTCAGAATATGAACTGACACCCTGTAGAGTTTAGCCAGCTCTACAGAAGGATTTTGTCTTGGTTTGAAAAGACAGGTGTCTGCTAAGGAAGGCAGGAGAGTCCCTTGAAGTGGAGAATGTAAACTTCCTCCCTCTGAATTGTTATGATTCTGGAATTAAGGGGCTCTCAGATAAAGATATGGGAACAGGAATAACAGTTCTTTACAGTTCTTTACTAGGAAAATTAAAAAAACATACAAATGCAATAGTACAAAAAGAAAATACTACTGACAGAGTCAGAATATGAACTGACACCCTGTAGAGCTTAGCTGGCTCTACAGAAGGAATTTGTCTTGGTTCGAACAGACAGGTGTCTGCTAAGGAAGGCAGGAGCATCCCTTGAAATGGGAAATGTAAACTTCTTCCCTCTGAATTGTTATGGTTTTGGAATTAAGGGGCTCTCAGGCAAAGATATGGGAACAGGAAGAACAGTTCTTTACTAGGAAAATTAAAAAGAAATACAAATGTAATAGTACAAAAAGAAAATATTACTGACAGAGTCAGAATACAACCTGACACCCTGTTGTTCAGGGTGTTGGTAGTAGTCCAATTAAATGGTAGCTGCAGCCCTCCTGCAGTGGGGAGGGCCTCCTTCTACTCCTGTAGAAGGGTTTAGTTTTCCTCTGAAGGTCCTGTGGTGGTGTAGATGAGCCTGGTCTTCCTCTGGGAATCCAGTGAAGAAAGCTGCTCCTCTGGGAATCCAGTGGGAAAAAGTTGCCTGTGGTATTCCAAACATCAGATTATATCCAGGTAGGAATGCTTGGCTCCTCCCTCTGGGTGGAGCATCTCCCAGTGGGATGATGGAATTTTATCAGCCATGCAGTGACACTCACTGGCCCATTAGCAGAAGGTATTTCCCAGAGGGAGGATTGGTTATGGAAGAGATAAAGAAAACTGCCCAATTAACAGAAGATAACTGCCCCACCTCTGACAGATGGCAAATAGAATACACATCCCAGCCATATCTTGTAACCTAAGACAGAATTCCATGAGGGAATGTTGCAGAGCGTCCAGGGGATGCTTCCATCTCCCTTTATATAATTTATTTATGTTTTTCTGTGTGTCCATCTTGAAACACGGGCATTCATTGAGATATTGAGCACCTTGTTGAGCATTCTTGGTTTTATTCTGTGAAGCAGAGGACATGGAAGCATGGATAGTTCCAGTTAAGACTGGGTGATTTTTAGGCAGAGCTCTGCTGATATATTTTAAGAATTCAGCTTGGCCACATCCTGTGAGATGTGACTTCAGTTAAATAAAGTTTTCTTGCCTGTTTCCAGCTGTTGAATCTCTCACAGGCCCTAGGCAATATCTCTCTACAACTCCCTGAAGGGAAGTTGTAGCCAGGCGGGGCTCAGTCTCTTCTCCCAAGCAAGCAGTGACAGGATGGGAGGACAGAGCCTTAAGCTGCACCAGGGGAAATTTAGGCTTAACATTAGAAAAAATGGGAAATTAGGAAAAAAATCTTAACAAGAAAGAGTGATTGAGCACTGGAATGGGCTGCCCAGGGAGCTGGTGGAGTCACCATCCCTGGAGGTGTTTAAAAAAAGACTGGATGTGGCACTCAGTGCCATGGATTAGTTGATAAGGTGGTGTTAAGTCATAGATTGGACTCAATGATCTCCAAGGTCTTTTCCAGCCTATCCTGTGATTGTTTCTGGAGTGACATTTCAAGAGAAACATGGTCTAAATGTTAGATGAAGGCCAAGAATTAGTGTAATTCTGAGTTCTGTTTCCAAAGGGACAAACCAATGGTGATGTAATCCCTGTGGTTTGAAGCTCAGAAAAATTATGATTACAACATTTGCATCCTGAGGTATGCAGGGAATGCTGGCTGTGATACTGCAAATGACTTGTGGATTTTGGACTCTTCTCATTTGAGCTGCCTAATGTGCTAAGCATGCACTGTGTGTGTATCAGTTTCTTTAAGGTGTCTCAAGTTAAATATCCTAATATTAAATATCTAAAAATTCCTCTAAAATATCAGCTACAGACTTAGCAGTACTCTGCTAAGTAATCCCCATTTGTTTCATTTTTTAGTATTACTCCCAAAATAATGGCAGCTGTCCAAAGTAATGAAGTAGTGTTTCCTAAGGATGAAATAATAAATATTTCATTTCCTAAGTATTAAAATCCCACCCTAGTTGTCATCCCAGTGGCATTGACAAAGAGCAGGGAAAAGCCAGAGCAATTTGCTGTTAAGAGGCTGCACAGTAAAGGTCAAACCCCACATTCACAGCCTTGTGCTCCTTTCACTTCATTACATTTGTTGCCCATCTAATTGTTCTTCCAGAAATGTGCATAAATAACTTCCTGAAGTGAACAAAAGCACTGACTCATTATGACAGGTTACATTTTCAAAGCTCATTTCCAGATATAGAAGTTGCCAAGTTGTGGGGTTTGGGTTTTATTTGCCTTTTGGTGTCAGTGTCCTTTTCTCTCCTGAACAGCCAGGACAGAACTTGACAGTTGGCTTTCCCCTCACAGAGTATGGAATTATCCTCTTTTCCCCTTTTCTTTTATAATCCATGCATTTTGAATTTTTTTTATGGAATTAACATCATGTTTTAATTTGTCTGTGCCAAGGCCACCAGCTTGTCCTTCCTGAGCTGGGAATTCACCTGCTTCCAGCAGAGAAGCAGCCTGTGGGTCTGGGGTCAGGCTAGGCTCATTTCTTTGGGGTTTATTTTGGCATTGTGGGGAATAAGGAGAGTTACTGAGGTCATTGTGCAGCTGAAATGTGTGAAAATGTTCACTTATTGTCCAAAGAAATGGACAAATTGAACCTTGAGAGTATCTGGGCTTCATCATTCTGCCCTGGTAGTGTCCACCCCTTTGCCCTGATAATGTTTTTTTCTAGTATTATGAATTACTTTTTTTTGGAAATTGCCTTGGCTTCTTGTGTGGAATTCACAGAATCATGGAGTGGTTTTGGTTGGAAGGGACCTTAAATGTCATCCAGTCCCACCCCCTGCCATGGCCAGGGACACCTTCCACTATCCCAGGGTGCTCCAAGCAGCCCTGTCCAGCCTGGCCTTGGACACTTCCAGGGATCCAGGGGCAGCCACAGCTTCTCTGGGGACCCTGTGCCAGGGCCTCACCACCCTCCTAGCCAAGAATTCCTTCCCAATATCCCATCCATCCCTGCCCTCTGTTCATGGGAAGCCATTCCCTTTTGTCCCTCCAGACCCTTGTCCAAAATCCTTCTCCCTTTAACCACATATTTAGGTATTTAAAGGAGAAAAAGCCCACACAGGACACATCAGCTGACAGTTCCTAGACTGTTGTGTCTTGAGGCAGAGGAAACTCCTGTCTTAAAACAGGATTTTCCAATCCTGGCACTTGCTCCTTTTCTTGAAGGAACTGCAGTGTAATGAGGCCACTCCTTGATCTGGATTCCTGTGAGGAGTTTTGGGTTTGTGGTAAGGAAATGTCTGATGCTGGAGAATGATGCTCCCATTGTTTAATTGGCATTGCATAAATGCCAACCAGCCAAACCCATGTTCCTCATTAGCAGTAATGAAATAATGACATGAGGAAGTCCACAGGCTTTTTGAGCAGGGTTTGTAGAGGAGGAAATCCCACTATGGAGATGGAAGTTTAAAAATCATAGAATAGTTTGAGTTGGAAGGAACCTTTTAAAGCTCTTCTAGAGCAACCCCCTACCATGGGACACCTTCCACTATCCCAAGGTGCTCCAAGCTCCATCCAGCCTGGCTTTGGACACTTCCAGGGATGGGGGGATGCTGATACCCTTTCAGTTTTTGTGGTGTCTGATGGGTGGCTGTGGGAGTATCTCCTTAAGGTAGTCTGTGTTCGGAACATGGGCCTTTGAATATTTCACCAGACAAAATTAGAGCTGTGGCAAATTAGCAAGAAAATGGAATTTCAGTGTCCAGAAGCTCACTGTAAAACTTCCTTTGATATTCACTCTGTAAACTGCATGTAGAAATGCAGAGGTGCATAACCAGAAGAGCTGCATTTTTCCTGTAGAAAAAATAATGCACACATCAGGCCATTTAAAAATGAGGAATAAAAATATTTTGGTGGCATGGCAGTGTACTGAGATGTGAGGCATCATTTTGAGAGTTTGATAGCCAGAGCAGCAGGATCTTTAAAAACAAAACTGGTTTTAACATGAGTCACTTGGAATGTAGAGATAAGATTAATTTCTGTATGAGTATCTTTGTGCAAATCTGCCAGTATCATGTAATTGGTTTGTGTTGAAGCACATAAAAACTCCACGTTAACATCTGTACTTTAAACTAATTAAAGAACTTTTGGGTGGATTCTGCCTTTACGTGCAATGTGTGTTTTTAAGACCCCTTTACTTACTGCTTAGTGTGCCTTGAAAAATGAGTCATGTTGCCTTTATTCATTCCCCCATCTGTGTGGCTGCAGAGGGAAAAAACACAGAGCACAACAAGCTTTTCTTGTTTCATTTGCTTTTATTCCTGCAGGCTATGAAATCACCAGAATTAAAAGAACGATTGGAGGAATCAGAAAAGTTGATTCAGGAGATGACCGTGACCTGGGAAGAAAAATTACGAAAAACTGAGGAGATAGCTCAGGTTTGCTGCTTTCTTTCCTCCTTCCCTGCCCCCATTTTTTATGAAAAATAGGTTTGTTTTCTTTGTCTGTCAGTTCATAGAGGTTGTCTGAGTCTCTCCCCACATTTATGGGTAAGTAGGTCAAGCTTGCTGCCCTTTTGAAAAGCTTCACTTAATTCCTGTGATAGATGGGTGCCTCCCAGATTACCACTCCAGTGACAATAATAAATTGTCACTGTATGCAAATGGAGAAGTTATTTAACAAAAAAAAAAAAAAATAATCCACGGATGAGAGGATTACAGGGGTTTTTATATTCTTCAGGCAGTAAAATTGTTTGTGATGAGGGAGCATTGAGAGCATTCAGTGCAAGGTTATGGACTGAGTGCCTCAATGCACCAGGCAAAGGGCATTCAGAATGATAAAAAATAGAGCTGTTGAGGATCTGTGTGTGTTTTAATAGCTCCTAAACTGATATTTAGGGCTTCAGACCATAACTGGAGATGATTACCTTGGAAAAATGAGGCAGGTCACCACGGTTGTTGCATGACACTCCTGGTTCTTCCCACACAAATGCTGATGTATATATTTGCAGAGGGGAGCTTTGGAGGGGGAGGACTGTGGGGAGGTGATGAATAGTGTGTAATAAATAAGGGGAGAATGGAGCCTCTGGTACAAAGCCCTCTTGTAGATGCCACAATCAGAATAGACTGTGTTGACTTTGGTTTTAAAGATCCATTGTAAGAAGTGCTGCCTGTGACTATGAGGGCTTCCTGCCTTTCAGTGCAATTCCTCCCTGTGTATAAGGGTGGAAAAAAAAATAATAATAGTAAAAAAATCCTGCTCTTATCCTACACAATAGTTTCTAGGCTTTGAATGTGTGAGGAGGTTGAAAAACTGAAGTAATGAGTTCAGCTCTTCAGACTAAATGTGCCTTGATGTCTGCATTTGCTCTCTGCCTTTCTGTCTCTAAATTCCCAGCTTGGTAGGATGTTTCAGAGCTGGGAGTTTCATGAGCCTTGAAAAAGGGAATTTTTTTTTTTCCAGAGGAGGGATGAGGACAAGTGTTTGTGCAGCACAGGCTGTTCCAGGACTGTCTGGAAGTCAGTGGAAGCCACTCTGTCACTCCCCTCCTCACCTGGACAGGGGAGAGAAGGGTAACAGAAGGTTCCTGGGTCCAGATACAGACAGGGAGAGATAAATGATCCATTACTGTCATGGGCAAAACTGATTTCACTGGGGAAAATGAGTATAATTTGTACCAATCAGATCACAGTAGAGTAATGAGAAATAAAAACTAAATCTTGAAACACCTTCTCCCCTCTTCTCCTTTTTTCCCAGGCTCAACTTCACTTTTGTTTTTATATTTTCTGCCCCCAAGTGGGACAGGGATATAGGGAAAGGGGGCTGTGCTGTGTCCTCCACATGTTGTCTTTGCTGCTTTTTCATCTGTCTGTCAAATTGTGTCAGGGTAGACAGGTAGGAAGGAGGAATCTCTGAGGAAAGGATGAGTCCTAATAGACAGCAAGGACCATCAAAGAGGCATCAATAAGAGTTCAAAGCCTTAAACACCAGCCACATGAACAGGCAATTTTTCACATTTTCAGTGAAAAATTTCAGTATTTGACATACTTCTAATGTTTTTTTCAGCGTTTAAGTTAATTAACATTAGGTCTTGAGAAAAAAATTAACAGGAACTGGCTCTTTTTCTCTCAGTTAATCCTATGAGGTTCACATTGTGGGCCAAGTTCTCCTTGGGGCAACATGTGCTTTATCTCTGCAGATAATGAGGATTTTTGTGAACTTCAGAGCCTGGCACTGGTGATCGGAAGAGAGATCTTTGACATCACACTGCAGTTTCTCCTCTGTTCTTTGTTTTCTCTCTCTCTCTCACACACACACATGACTTTCCCTTACAAGGGCATCATGTTGGGTTTGTAAACCTATGTGGAGACAGGGAACAGAAAATCAAGAGCGAGTTGTGCCATTTCTTTGCAGTTTTAATCTTGATTGGACGTGGTACAACTGAGCAGGGAATGATCCTGAATATTGTGGCATACTCAGTTTTTTTAATATAAAGCACACTGATAGGTAAAGATAAACATTCCAGGATTATTCTTACATTATCTAATTTGATTTTTTTAAAAGTCTCAGCAGCACTGGGAAAGCAGTGTAGGTCTCTTGTATGGTTTTCTTGCTTAATAATTTCACCCTCTCCTGTTGCTGCTTCCCCCAGTAATCCTATGAGGAGTCTCTCATATTTATTTCTAATTTTTTTGTTGTTGTTGTTGCAGACAGTGAGTCTCACTTCAGTTTCTCTCTGCTCCTGGGAACAATTCTCAACTTTTCTATCCCAGTGGATTTTTTTTTTGTAGAAGAATCCCTTTCTGTTTCTAAGTCAGAAATGTTTAATGTTCCTCTTTCACTGTTCTGGTCTCACCCAAACCCTTCCCTTTGAGAGATGGACATTTTTTGCACAGTAATGCTTTGTTGGGCATTTCTATGAAGTCTTTTGACAAGAACAAAACACCATCCAAAATGCTGCTATTCTTGTTCAGCAGGAAGTGTTCTTTGCATTACTTAAATAGCAGGTTGCCAGTTTTTTGTCATTTTGATTGCTCTGGAACAAAGGATAGACATGGAGCTTGGCTTGGCAAGGATTTAACTTAACTTCTTGCTTTTTAGCTGGGAAGGGAGAATAAAGGGCTCTAGAGATGGCTTTGTGGTAGCATTTTGCTGTTCCAGTGAGGTCATGGAGATGCTCTGCAGTGCTGCAGGAGGCTGCTCCCAGCTGCTTTCATTTCCCACTGGGAATATGGGAATGTGTGGGACCAAAGCACGGAGCCACAGGAGGAATCACAGATAGCCCTGAGCAAAGCTTGGTACAGCTGAACCTTCTGTGCCTCACCTGTTGCAGAAGAAAGAATTTCCTGTTCTAGAAGTACCAATCCATCATTTTTGCCTGGTGGCTCGAGCAGATGGGAATGGATTTCAGAATGTTTGGGCATCAATCAGCTCAGTTTTGATGGCTGCTCTCTTCCAGGAGCGTCAGAAACAGCTGGAAAGCCTTGGCATATCCCTGCAGTCCTCTGGAATAAAAGTTGGGGATAATAAATGCTTCCTGGTTAATTTGAATGCAGATCCAGCTCTCAATGAACTCCTGGTGTACTATTTAAAGGTAAAAATATATCTTTGTATATAAAAATTTTGTAATGTCAGGCCTCTAATTCATTTGGAGAGGTGTACTTGGAGAGTTCTATAGAACTGTATGTCTAAAAATATTAAGATTTTTAGGAGTACAACCTTTTTGTTTCAAATGTAATTTTTTGATGCACAGGAAAAGTTTGGGGATTTGATGTTTTTGTTTGTTTTGGTTTTCTTTGGTGTTTTTTTAAAAGAAATTTAGGCTTGTTCTTTTTGAGAAACTGTCTCCTGTTCTGGGATGAGGTGTTTTTGTTGGTTGGGTTTTTTTATGCAAACTTTCACAAGCTTTTACCCATGAAATTGTTTTATATGAAAGTTGGGCATATCAGTAGTCAGCTTCTCTGTGTGTAGTCTAAATTCTGGCTGCTGTCTTCAGTTTATGAAATGCATTTTTAATCCTCTTTGTGCAACTTGCCAAAAGTGAAAAAAAGATCTGTTCTGCCTCAGGACTTCTGATGTGCAGACCCTGTTTCTGATATTAACCATCAAACATATGATGTGACTTTTTCACCCTGTGCTGAAATATTTGGGCAGTTTATTGTGGCTTTTACAAATTGTAGATGGGGGATTCAGGAGGAGAAGCAAGGTACAACCATTTTAAAGTCACATCTTGGAGTGCAAATTCTAAAAATTTTGCAGCGAACATCAGCAGTTTGAGCTTCACATTAAATCATTATGTTCCCTTTGAAGTGGGATAGTAACTCTCAAAACAGCCACAAAATCAGCAATTAAGCTGAAAGATGGTTTTGGTTTAGTCAGTCTTAGGAAATATCTGATCCTCTTTTATATCAGCCATCGTGGCTCTGCGATATCTCAATAGAAACAGGGGAAAACACTTTTTCCATGTTGTATCTGCTAAAAAAAACACATTAAAAAGGAGAAAAGAGCTGAGGTTTTGGAGAGGTTGACTCTTCCCCAGACAAATTGCACGTAAAAGCGCAGAGTGTGACTCAGCTGCTAAATCACTGACAGATACTGGGACAGATCCCACTTTGTCCCAGTGGTCACTGGGGACAAGGACAAGAGTGGGACAAAGCCTTTGGCCCATTAGTGCCAGCAGGAAAAATCTCAGGTGGATCTGTGCTCTTTTCCTTTTCTAGGGAAAACGCCTTGGGGTAGATTTTGTCTCCTTCAATTAGTCTTTGTTATTTTTTTTAATAACTCAGATTTATCTTTCTCCTGGGGAATTTTGGTGTAAAAATCCCTGTGCTTTGAAATTACTGTGATAAAATTACTTGCAGCTGTTTTTCCTAAAATCCTGAGATTTAACTCTCTTGTTTCTCAGAATATTTGCCCACTTTCTCTCTGAGCTGTGTGTGCACCAGGTCCTTCAAGTACTGAAGAACAACCTAAGTTGACCTGTCTAAACTGTTAAATCTATTCCTCAAAAATTGCTTAGAGATGCCTAAAAAAGAGATCTCTGTCCCAAAAGGGGGATCCAGCCCTGGCAGTGGTGGAGTCCCCATCCCTGGAAGGATTTAAATGCCTTCTGCAGGTGGCATTTGGGGACATGGGGCAGTGGTAGCCTTGGCAGTGCTTGGGAATGGTTGGATGGTCTTAAAGTGCTTTTTTCCAACCTCAGCAATTTTATGTGTGGGGTGATCCTTCATTCCAAATCCCCCATACCCTGAGTATCCAGGATTTTCTGGAGCTGTTGCTGATCGAGGTGGAACCTCCATAACCACCATGGATCTGCCACTGAGAGCCTTTCTAAATTCCTGCCTGAAATCCTTTATTCCTTTGGCTTCTACAGCATTCTGAGGCACTGGATTCCTTCTTTAAATCATAAAATTATCTTCTTTTTCATGTTTAACTATTACCTGTAAACTTTCCTGAGTGCTCCCTGCTTGTTATTGTGAGACAAAGTTGATTTTCTTCTCTTTTTCCCTCTAAGGGAAGTATTGAACAGCTGTGACATTTTGGGACCAGATGACACAACACATCCAGAAGGAGAAAGGGTGAATTAGACCCAGTGAACCTCTGCAATCCATCATTAACATCTGAATTAATTTTTCCCCAGGAGCACACATTAATAGGCTCAGACAACTCTCAAGATATCCAGCTGTGTGGAATGGGAATTCTTCCTGAGCACTGCATCATAGACATCACCCCAGAAGGCCAGGTTATGCTGACCCCTCAAAAAAATACCAGGTGAAGGAATAAAATGCAGCCACAGCTGTTTGATAGTTGTCATTTTATCCAGTCTTTTATGATTAATGGTGCACAAAGAGACTTGGAAAACAAACTTCTCTATCTCCTTCGTAATAAGAAAAATTCTGCTTTTACATTTTAATTGTCACCTGTTCCTCTGTCAACTCATGTTCCATTCCAGTGGGATTTCTCTCAGGGAGGGTGTTTGTAGCCCAAATTTTTAAAGAGGAGATGAGTAAATTGCATGTGCTTTCAGCAAGTAGATACTCACTGATTTGCAGCTGCGTAGATGTAACTCCTATCAAAATTTGAATTAATTTTCTAGGAGATCTGTTGATATGCAAAGAGCTGCTGAAGCTTTTGTTCCTTTATTCAGTTAAGTAGCTCTACTTGAGAAGCAGCTGGCATATTCAGATTGATCACAAAATGACATGCAGAGTCAGCATCTCCAATAACTTACTGTTAATACACCATATTCTAACTTTGCACATTTACCCTGATTTGTGGCTGATCCTGCTTGGAGCAGATTGGACTGAGTGACAACCTGAGATTCCCTTCAAATTTGAGTTATCCCACAATCCTATTTTCAAACTTAATCTGACTCTGAAATAAAAGTAGTTTCTGATTATTTTAATTAGTATCTTTAAGCTGTTCATGTAGCAAAGGTGCCTCATTCAAAAATTTCTGTCAAATATTGCCTTATTCAAATATTTCTGGTTTGTGTCTGTATTTCAGAGCAGTGTGCAAGTGTTTTTTTCTAGTGACTTTGTTTTCTCAGGCTGCTCATTTTTAAGCTCCAATTTTACTCCCCAGACACAGCTGTAGTAGTATCTGTCTAAATGTACTGACCTTCATGAGCTTAAGAGGTCAAAAGTAGCTGAATTTGAGGCTTGTATGAAACAGCACTGGGTAGATCAGTGAATTTTCTGGGAATATTTTGCCTGTTTGCAATCCCTAAATCTCTTCTCCTACCTTTACTTGTTGCAGTAATGAAAGTAATACTGGGAGGGGGAAAAAATGAAGCTTCATATAAAAATATTTACTTCAGATTTTTGCCTTTTCCCAGGACATTTGTAAATGGCTCTGCTGTCGTGTGTCCCATCCAGCTCCACCACGGAGACAGAATCCTGTGGGGAAACAACCACTTCTTCAGGTGACAGAAGTTATTACAGGAATTGTAAATTGGCACCCACTTTGTTTTGGGTTAAGGTGCAAGGAAAGATGGGGACTATAAAAGCAATGCTGATGTTGGACTGGTTTTTAATGCTTAATGTTATTACAAGGTCGCTGTGTTCTCTGTCTCCTGTAGTCCCAACCACATCTGTGACGTTCCTGTATCAGACAGGATCACTGGTAGACATTTTCTATTCAAGACTGTGCTTTGAAACCCTCTGAAATACCTCAAAAATCAGTAAATTTGAATGACAGTCTAAAATGGCATTGCTTTATTTCATCCTTAAAAGGAGAACCCACGTAAAAAAAGTGAGCTATCACTTCATTATTGCCTCTAAATTATTTGGATGTGGAATGACTAAAAAATGTCATGATTCTCTAAACTGTATTATTGGTAGCATGAGGTACTTAATTATGAGAATGTAGAATGGATTAATTAGTTTACCTTCTGCTCCTGTTTTTGCCCTGAGGAAAATTACACCCACAGGAGATCAATGAAATTTGAAAGGCAAAAAAAGCTTCTGATTTCGAGGCTCTACTGAATTTTAACAATATTTGAAAGCAACCCTACGTTTCAGAGCTGTGCAATTTAATAATTCTCTAAAAATTTTCCTCTTATTTAAAGGCTGAATTTGCCAAAGAAGAAGAAGAAGGCAGATCATGAGGATGAGGAGCGGGACAACTCCATGAAGTGCAGTAACAGTGTGGAGCAGCTGGATATAGATGGAGACAATTCCAGTGAGGTGTCCAGTGAGATTAACTTCAGCTATGAATATGCCCAGATGGAAGTCACTATGAAGGCTCTTGGTAGTAATGGTAAGGAGCCACAAAAAATTATTTGGAAATGGGTATAAAATATGAGGATAACCACAGACTTTTTCCCTTATAACATCCTTTTGGAGAATTTTCCTTGTGAATGACTCATCACAGTCATTTTTGTGCTTGAGGAGGGAAAAATAACCATGGCAGACTGTTTGGTTTGGCAGTTCTTGCTAAGGGGAAAGCCAAAAGTGGAATGCTGGTGGAACTGCAGTCTCAAATCAAAGTGTTTTCACTTGGCTGTTTATTTTTCTTGTGTTATGTCTCACTCAGGCATTAACTGCAATGATTTCTGTCTCTGAAACCGTGTTTTTGAGTTTTTGTGGTCTTATGTAGCTGTCCCAGAATGACATTATTTTGGGAAATAGGAAGATTTTTTTTTTTTTTTCTCCAACTTGGGCTTTCCCTTTTCTTAACTCTCTTAAATCATCTACCTTGTAAACATTTGTTTTGCTTCAAAATTCAGCAGCACTTTTTAAATACACACTGCAACAAAACCAGAATCTCTCTTTTTACCTGATACCTGCGCTCACACCGTGCACCCAGGACGCTCCTCAGCATGAATTTCACTGCAGTTCTTTCTTTATTTTCAACCTCTGCCTAGACCCAATGCAGTCAATCCTGCAAAGCCTGGAGCAGCAGCATGAGGAGGAGAAGAGATCAGCTCTGGAGAGGCAGAGGTTGATGTACGAGCACGAGCTGGAGCAGCTGCGGCGCCGGCTCTCGCCCGAGAAGCAGCATTTCCGCAGCATGGACAGGTTCTCCTTCCACTCCCCCAGTGCCCAGCAGCGCCTCAGGCAGTGGGCAGAGGAGAGGTGGGTACCCCCCTGGGGCCATCAGGGGTGTTCAGTCAAATTTCTGCAGCAAATTTGGTAAAATTTTCATTGTGCTGCGATTGCGGTGGATTTCTGTGAGGACTCTTGGCGGGGCTTGGGGAGGACACGGCCAAAATATTTATCTAAAAATCACAGAAGGGACATCAAATAGCATCCAGTTCCACCTCTGCCATGAGGGGGACACTTTCCACTATCCCAGTTTGCTCCAAGCCCCATCCAACCTGGCCTTGAACACCTCCAGAATAACCAGACCTAAAATGGTAGAAAATATGAGAAATAATGAGTTCCTGCTTTGTTGTTAAGGAGAAGCTCTGTCCTGATCAGCAGCAAATTTAACTAAAGATAAGGTGATTGGATGAAATTTTGAGGCTCCTATGTGAGTTTGTTCTTTCATGGGCCATGCATGACTCAGCTGCTGGAAAGTTTTTCCTCTTGACTCAGATCCAGCTGTCTGACCTGGACAGGTTCTGGCAAGCAAATTAAAAAAAGCGAGTAAGAGAATGATGCAGAGAATTTTAATCCAAATAATTGTAAAAACCATTTAATAACCACAGAGGGGTCACTGTCCACTCTGCCTCTTCCTGGGTGATGGCACTGAGGTTATTTAGTTCAGCCCCTAAATAATGTTTTCCACTATTGCTGTCAAAAAGAGCAGCTGCAGGAGGAAGATGAAACCCTAAATAAATGAGTGTGGTAAAGACATTGTCATGAAAAACACAAATGTAATATATATGGATAGAAAAGCAACTTTGGAATTCAAAAATATTTCAGACAGCCTGACAAGGTGCTAGCTGAGTGCCTGGGATGTTTTGTGGCACCAGATTCCTGGGCTGCAGAGAATTGCCACTTTTTCTCACACTTGCCAGGAAAGCCAATGAGCAAGTGGCTCATGTCTGAATAAACCTTTCTCTGTAACATGGAACATCCACATCTGTGGTGGGAAAAACTCAGGAACGAGCCACACAAAAGCTGCCTGTTCAGCAGATGCATGGAGAAGTCTCCAAAGCCAGCAGCACTCTAATTTTCATATTGCTAAATTCATACAGATGTGGGGGGTGGTTCCCAGTTGAAATGTAATTTCATACACCTGATTTTTTGTGTTAAAAATACAAATTATATAAATATAATGATAAAATTATTTTGGTATGAAGGCACCTGAAAGTCCTTCCAGTTCCACCCCTACCATGGGCAGGGACACCTTCCACTGTCCCAAGTTGCTCCAAGCCCCATCCAGCCTGGCCTTGGACACTTCCAGGGATCCAGAGGCAGCCACAGCTTCTCTGGGCAACCTGTGCCAGGGCCTCCCCACCCTCCCAGCCAAGAATTCCTTCCCAATATCCCATCTATCCCTTCCCTCTGGCAGTGGGAAGCCATTCCCTGTATCCTGTCCCTCCATCCCCTGTCCCAAATCCCTCTCCAGCTCTCCTGGAGCCCCTTTAGGCCCTGGAAGGGGCTCTGAGCTCTCCCTGGATCCTTCTCTTCTCCAGGTGAGCACCCCCAGCTCTCCCAGCCTGGCTCCAGAGCAGAGGGGCTCCAGCTCTGGAGCAGCTCCTTGGCCTCCTCTGGACTTTCACCATGTCCTCCTTCTGTTGGGAGCCCCGGGATGGACCCCAGGATGTTGTGTGGGGCAGTGTCCAAACCTTTGCATGAGTTCAAGTGGAGTCCAGGGCTTGTGAGCATGAGGTTGCTTCTGGGTTTTATGGAGGGGCTCACCTGTCAATATTTGTAGCAGCCCCTCTATAATATCACCTGTCCCTTCCCTCTTTAATCCTCACCCACAAGCTCTCAGTTGTCTCCTCATCCATTTATTTTGCTTCTCATGAACCTCATGATTTTCCTGTCTCCCCTTCCCATTCCCATTGTTCCAGGGAAGAAATGCTGACCCACAGCCTGAGGAAGCTGCGAGAGCAGATTGTTAAAGCCAATTTGTACGTGAGAGAAGCCAATTTTATTGGAGAGGAACTGGACAAGAGGACAGAGTACAAAGTGACCCTCCAGATCCCAGCTTCAAGCCTTAATGCCAACAGCAAGGTACAGTCACCCTGACTGAATTAAATGGTTGTTAGTAAGTTTGTCCCTCAGTGTTCAGATCTCTTTTACTGTAACTATAATGATTGAGTTTGTTTTCCACTAATGTGCATTAAATACATCTCTGCTACATCCTTATCTTATTTTATACCATGAAAATTTTATAATGTCACTTAAGAGATAAATGTTTGGGTGCAAGACCTTTCCCCTGGTGTTGAAGTTCCCACTTGCTGCTGTTGCAGAGTGACAAAGTCTCTGCAGGTTGGGTAACATCTGTTGCAAGTGTTTACCATCCCTTTGTGGACATTTGACTTTGCATCATCCCAGTGAGCTGTGAAAATTTTGCCATCCCCATTATGGAGGGAGGAACTGGAGCAGAGAGGATTTCAGTTATTTTTTCCCAGGAATCTTAGAAATTTTGGAAGGAGGGATCTGAACCCAGACTTTTGTGTCTCAGCCTGGCAACTGAAGCTGGTGTTATTTCTTGAAGCCAAATCAGTATTTTGGTGATACTCAGACTGTCGTTAGTGCAGTAAATTTTATTCCAGGATTATAATTTTGTTCCTGGATTTTATTCCAGGATCATAATTTTTGTCAGTTGTTTTAGAAGTTTTTCTCACAGTCTTCTGGAGAAGACACATCCAGAAACAGGATGATAAAGGGGGTTAAGTGTCTGCACTAGTTGAAAGTTGCAGGCATTAGTTATTTTAGCTGGAGCTCCAGGCCTGCTCTAACTTGAGGGTATTTGTGAAATACTTAAATGTTCCCATTTCTAACACTTATGCAAGGTGAAAATCCATGGAAACCAGTGCCTGTAGCTGAGATTAGACTGCCCAGTTCAAATGAGCACCAATACACTGTGACAGCTGAACTCAGAGCCTGTCACACTTGGATTTGGCTGCTCAAACCAGAATAAAAAAAAAAAGGAACAGACTTTTCCCAAAGATATTCTCAAGTTTGTGTTAGTTTTAAACTCTTTTTTCACTGTTGTGACACGAATTCCTTCTTGGCATCCCTTTAATTGTTAAACAGAGAGGTGCAATTCTCAGTGAGCCTGCAATCCAGGTGAGGAGGAAGGGGAAAGGCAAACAGATCTGGTCACTGGAAAAGCTGGAGAATCGACTGGTGGATATGAGGGACCTTTACCAGGAGTGGAAAGACTGTGAGGAAGACAACCCAGTAAGTAAAAAGTCCTCCTGTAATTGCATTCCTGTTACATTTTCAGGAGGATTGTTGGGTGGAGGTGGGGAGGGAATATGCAAAGAGCCGAGTTTCCCTGAGGTTTTGCTTTTCCTAGTACTGAATTGATGCTCAGCATTTCATTAACCCTTATCTTGTCACTCTGATCCCTGCCTTTGTGCATAGTTTGGTGAGGGAATGGAGCACACAATAGGAGGCTGCAGATGACACAAGAGCAGTTAATGTTCAGGAATCTGGCAAAGTTAAGGAGGACTTGCTCAGGACAGGCCTCACCCAAAGTAAAATCCATTTCCATTCTTCTTGTGATCTAATCTGGCCTCTTGCTTGAGTCCCTTTTTCTTTCACTGGGCTGGTTGTGCAACACTTTGAGAAGTGTTTCCTGGGAGGTTTGGATTCCTGACAGACTCTGGATTCTCTTGCAGGTGATGAGAGCTTATTTCAGGAGAGCTGATCCCTTCTACGATGAGCAGGAGAACCACAGCCTTATTGGAGTAGCCAATGTTTTCCTTGAGTGCCTGTTCTATGATGTGAAGCTTCAATATGCTGTTCCAATCATCAATCAGAAGGGAGAGGTTTGTCATTCTTTAAAATCTGTCCTTACCCAGCTGTTTAATTACAGCCTGTGGATCTCACCACCAGCATGGAGTAGATAATTTCCAGTTTCATGTACTCAAGGTCTTCCCTAACAGTGTGGAATTGTGTAAATCCCATAATATTTTACTGGAGTTTTCAGACAGCTCTGAATCCCAGCAAGGTGATTGTGAAAGGAGAAAGCTTCTAGAGGGAAATAGCCCAAAATAAGTCCTTAGGATGAGCTATAGCTCCACTGGTTTCACTGCCTGCCATCAAGAAAATAGGTTCTTAAATATATTCTATAAGAACAACTCCAAAGACAGCAGAGCACACCAGGCAACATTCTCCATGCTCTGCATGAAGTGTGCACTTTGCAGACCCTCCAGAGACAGGTTTGAAGGTGAAATTGTTCCCCAATTTCTGATTTCCCCAGTGTCTGATTTCTTTATGGTTTTTGCAACAAAGGCTTTTTGATCCTTGCTCCACAGCATTCTTCACATAGTGCAGCAAATGCAGAGTGCAAAAAGGAATGAAGTGATGGCTGCTTACACACTGGGAGGGGCTGTCACTGTTTTCTGGCACACAAATAACTCTGACTCCTGCCCTGCCAGGTTTCAGGTCGTCTCCACGTGGAAGTTGTTCGAGTGAGCGGGGAAATCGATGACAGGCTGGTGGGAGGTGAGGACAGTCCTGACTACTCAAATGAAAATGACATCCCAGAGAGAAAACTTGTCTGCAGGGTGAGTTCCAGGTGTATCCCAACCTCTGAGCAAGCTTTTCTCTTCCTGTCCTGAGTGAGAAAGAAATCCTTGGCTTCTGGACATTGGATGTCTTCTCTTTGTAACCTTATTTTGTTTCTGGAATGGCTGAAGTAACACAAGATAATTAGATGGGGTTTATTCCTTTCATTAATTACATTAATATGCCAAAGGCTCACCCCAGGAATTTTACTGGAATCCAGGGAAGGTCTTTGTATTAGGATTGGCACTGCAATATCCAATTCAAGAATCACTGCAGAAGCCAATCAAGAGATGGGAAATAAACTCCCGTCATTCTAGGAATCATTATCTCTTAATATTTCTGTTTCTCTCAATATTTCTTTCTCTAAATATTAAATATTTTGTAAAATATGGACAGTGCGTTTATTACTGTTAGTAATAAAAAGAAAATTAATAGGAAGTATTTACTAGCAGTTCTGTGATAGTAAAACTACAAGCTACAGGTAAAAAAAGAAAGGCAAAAAACATTAGAGGGAGTGGTCCCCAGGCTTGCTGACTTCTGGACAATATGAACAATTTGGGAGAAATTGTGCTTTTTTTTCCCCCCCACTTTTTATCCTGTCCCATAGAGCTCCAGTGCTTACAAGCTGGATGGGGCATTTTTGGCAAAAAAAACTCCTGCCTGATCATGAGGATCATACTTCAGAAGTCCTGCTCATTTGGTCTTAATTTGACAAATGGAGAATGAAAGTTTATTAAATATATGGTGAATATGATGGCTTTGTTTAGATCAGAATGAGAATTCACAACATTTTGTTTCTATTTGGCATTGATTTGATGAGAGGACAGGCTAATTTTGCATTGTTTGGAGTTGATTTTAGGTTATTTCCAGCATCACAGAATAAGAACAAGTAGTATCTTAAACCAAGGATTTTTTGAGCATAAAGGAGCCACTGGAAATATGAGATTTTTTTTTTTGTATTCTCTTCAATTGCAATGAGTTTGGTGCATTTCACCATTAAAAATGAGCAGAATGTCCCTTCCAGGAAACATGAGCCTGGTGACATCTAGTGACTGTCCTCAGCTGCTGCACTCCAAACATTGTCTCCAATGAGTATCAGTGCAGAAATTTTATTTGCTGAATTGTTTTTTGTTTCCTGTTCTCTTTTTTTTTTTTTTTTTTCTGTTCTTATTTTTTTATCCTTTGCAGTGGAGCATTGTTCTGCTAGGTGATGTTTTTAATTCCATGCCTGATGAATAAGTGCTTTTCATTTCTTTCTCACCTCCTTTCCAGATTAAAATACTTCAAGCTACAGGTTTGCCACAGCACCTGTCCAACTTTGTGTTCTGCAAATACACATTCTGGGATCAAGTGGAGCCAGTTATTGTTGCACCTGAGGTGGATCCTTCCCAGTCTTCCATCAGCAAGGAGCCACGGTGCATGGTTGTCTTTGACCACTGCAATGTAATTTCTTTTTCTGTTTTATTCATTAAACTGTAAGGCAGGCAAAAAAAAACAGGTTAAGTTTGTGTAGCAGTTTCATCTGCATCTTTTCTCATATTTTATTTCATGATGCCCTAATACCGTTTTTAGTTTCATTATGTTGATACACTAATTTTTTTTAATAAGAACTCAAATGTTTCCAGAGTCCATTTAAGTTTGATTCTTCTGCACTGGTCATTGTACAAAAATTACTGAAGGTGAAGTGGGGTAATAAGGAAAACATCAGTTCATTTGAGAAACATACACTGGAATTTATCCACAGTAAAATTCACTGTGAATGAGGGATATTTATATGAGGATATTTGATGTCACTGTCTGAGCTGATCACTCTAAACTGGTGAAATGAAGAGAAATGTCCAAATTCTGGGATATGGGGCTGCTGTAGATGCTGAAGTTGGGTTGTTAGAGGTCAGAACAGACTATTTAGGACAGACTCTTTCTTCCCACTGGCTTTGGAGCAGCTGAGCAGAGGCATTTTATAGAGACATCCAAAGTCAGCTTGGATCAATCTCAGCCAAATCACCCCAGTTGTCAACGTGTTCCAGCACTTCTCATCACACTGGGCAATTTATTCCTCTTCCCATTTGTGAAATGGATGTAACACCTTCTGATGAGTTTTGATTTTCTGATTCTGAGCATTGCAACATGTGCTTTGATTTTTTTCTGAGCCATTGGCTCAGGGCTTGCAACAGCCTGTCGTCATTTTTCAGCTCCTTATACATTTTAATCTTTGGAAAATCACATTCCTTTGACCTGCCTCCTGGTTTTACAAACTGAGCCGACACTTCTTTTCCCCTGGATTGTGTCTTGGGAACCAGGGGGATTTTACTAAATGGTTTTATTAAAGTCAAGGCAGTAAAATCTCCCAGCCTGAGTCTTGTAGTCACAGTTACCAACTGATTTGTCCTTTCCAGGAGGTTTCTGTGAATATTTCTGAAGACTTCATGGAACATCTTTATGATGGTGCTTTGGCCATTGAAGTTTATGGGCACAAGCAGAGTGGGGACCGAAAAAACCCAGCCCTGTGGGATTTGGGAATAATTCAAGCCAAAACACGCAGCCTTCGGGACAGGTACATGTGGGAAATACATCTTTGGTTTGGAATTTGGGAAAAATCACCACCTGAGGTGCCCAGTTTTGAAGCAGGTTTGGGGTAAGGAGTCAGATTTTGAACTGAAGGCCACTGGATGACTCCATTCCTGGCCATGAAATGCCATCCCTGTAATGCTGCCACTGGAAAAGTTTTATTCCTTATTACCTCAATTTGGATAAATATGCAATATTATGGAAATTCAGGCCACAGGGAGATGTGTTTTTTGTTTGCTGGCACCATTTGATGTCCCCAAAGTAATATTGTAGCAGCATTTTTAAAATGTGAGTTGTTTTGCCTCTTCAATTAGAAGGCAGCTCTGCATCTTAATTTATTGGCAGTTACTTCTCTTTTTACTTGTAGCTTAATCTTATGTTGACTATTAAGCTGCATATAAGGAAATTTAAAAGGGAATTATGGCAAAGAGGAAAAGGGTGCTCTAAAATAGTGGGTTATGTTTGGTAGCTAAGTAGTGAGCACCTCTATCCTTTTTAATTTTGAAGTTCTACAAAAATGGCTGCTTCTTATTAAGCTCTGGGAAGAATTGAGAGAAGGCAGTGATATGAAGAAGGTCAGGAAAGTGCTCTGAATTTTGAGAGCTTGTGAGACAATGTCATATTTCATTCTTCTGTCTTCCATCTCAGGCTGATTGCCCTGACAACACTGAGCTTCTGTGGCAGGAGTTGAGACCAGAGCTTAAATGTGGAATTGGGGTTTCTATTGGAATCAGGAAAAGGTTTATTTCTGATGTTTGACTAAAATAGCTGTCAGGAAAATTTAGAAGCTCTGCACAGCTGGTACCTGTGTGCTCACAAATGGTGCATTTTTTGCAGCAGTTGTTGCTACTTCAGTCTGCACTGTAAGCTCAGTGTTTTGATGTTTTAATTCCTTTTTCTTTGGGAAAAAAAAAAAAACATCCAAAGAGAAGAAACATCAATGACTTGTTCTGCAGGTGGAGTGAGGTGACCCGCAAAGTGGAGCTGTGGGTCCAGATCCTGGAGCTCAATGAGAACGGGGAGTACTGCCCAGTTGAGGTGACCCCTGCCAAGGATGTCAGCACAGGAGGCATCTTCCAGCTCAGACAGGTGAGCTGGCACAGGCAGGGTTCCAGCTGTGCCAAAAACACCTGGGGAGCTTTGCTTTGGGTGGCCAAGGAAATGTTGTCAAGCTTAGGTGCAAAATGTGATGTGGAAAACAAAGCGGGAGACAGAGCAAAACTCAGCTTAAAGGTGATCAAAGCCCTCCCTGTAACCTTTTTGCTCTGTCCTGTGCCAGCACCTGGCAGAAGGGACATCAGTCTCCACTGAGCTTCATTATTTTTTAAGGAGGTCCAAGAATTCTCTTTTATTTGATCCTTCCAGCCAAGCACTCCTAGTTCAGGAGTCAGCATGGGAGGCATCTTCCAGCTCAGACAGGTGAGGTGGCACAGGCAGGGTTCCAGCTGTGCCAAAAACACCTGGGGAGCTTTGCTTTGGGTGGCCAAGGAAGTGTCAAGCTTAGGTGCAAAATGTGATGTTGTGGAAAACAAATATAAAGTGGAAGACAGAGCAAAACTCAGCTTAAAGGTGATCAAAGCCCTCCCTGGAACCTTTTTGCTCTGTCCTGTGCCAGCACCTGGCAGAAGGGACATCAGCCTCCTCTGAACTTCATTAATTTTTAAAGAGGTCCAAGAGTTCTCTTTTATTTGATCCTTCCAGTCAAGCACTCCTTTGTTCTTTGAATTCTACCTGCTTTAAATTGTTAATGCTTAACTGAGCAGCTCACATTTTTAAAATGATGAGCTATTGATAAGCTGTTGCCCAAAGAACACGAGGAATCAGTAAAAGTTAGATACAGGCTGCTCCTCTGACCTCACCAACTCCTTTGATTTTTATTTTAATTTTCTTCTTTTTATTTACTTTTTTTCCCCCTAGCAGTTTTACTAAAGAGCAGTTGCTTTGCTGCACTGATACCATCAGTGGGTCAGAATTTTCAGCCAAGGAGAGCAGAGCCAGAAAAAGTTCACTGAAATTCCAGTAGCTCAGTGAGACTATTTGCTCTCCTCTTTTGTAGGTGGGAAGAAGATCCCATTTTCTACCTTCAAAAGTATTAAAAATAAAATCCTATAGGGGTATGTTTGAAAACCCTCCAGAAAAATAAACTGGGGAGCTGCTGAATGCTGAATTTTTATTTTTCTCTGTAAATTCATAAATCCTGTAAATATAAATCCTTGCAACAGGAGGGGGATCTCTTAAACACTGGGTCATTGGGATTGCAGCACTTTGTTCTTCCCAAAAGATAAATATAATTCTCCTTGCCAATGGCTGCCAGTAGAGGTCTCTCTGGAATTAAACTTTCAGCACTTTATATTCTTTTTTTTTTTTTTTAAACAAGCATTTCAAATTGTTCTTTTTTGGCCAGGGGCAATCTCGACGAATCCAGGTTGAAGTGAAATCTGTGCAGGAATCTGGGACCTTGCCACTGATGGAGGAATCCATATTATCTGTTGGTGTTGGCTGTGTTCAAATAAAACATGTCAAGTCACAAAATTATCAGGTAAAACTCTGAATATTTATTGTCAGCTATTTCCAAGAGCTGGAAAGCATCAAGGGAATCATTTCCCATGGCAAAAATAACACTTTTAAGATGTTTTGTATCTCTTCTGGTTCTGGTTTTGGTTGGGACTTTTTTCCTATTTTTGAAAGCAGCACAGCCTTAACAGACTCAAAGAGGAAAAGAATATGCAAATATTACTAAAATCCATTAGGAGTTTTTTGTGTAGATTTTACTTCAAATATTAGACATGGAAAACAGTATTAAGTAAGTATTCAAAACAAAAATTAATCTAAAGTATTCAAATTAAAAATTCAAATTAAACCAGTGCAATGTATATTTAAATAGTGTCAAATTCCAAATGTTAGAATTCCAGGAAGCACTTATGGCCCACAGCAGATGTTGGGCAGTTCTTGGACAGTCTCATACAAACTGCACCCCATGTGCATCCCTCTCTTTTTAGGAGACACTCCAAGTGTCTTCTTGCAGTGCTCTTGTGAGTTTCTGGTGCACTTTGACTTTTTCTCTCCAACAGATAAATAAGAATTCAGTGACTCCCTGGAGCTGGCAAAGCCAAAATCTGGTGCAGCAGAACAGGTCTCTGAATTTGTTTGATTTGAGACAAGGCCAGCTAAGTGGAAAAGTAGAAGTCCCAAAATATTTACCATATTGACAGTGTATGATCCAATCCATGTCTGCTCCCCTTTTTCTGCTTAATCAGGATGGCTTTTCCTTTGAGCTCTGAAGTACTTGGGGTTTCTGTTGTCTCCTAGCCAAGGCAGTCCTTTCCCACTGTCTGTCTGGGGTACAAAAAGGGGAATTTTTCCACCTTTCCAGCAGCATCCTGGGCAGATTGTTCCTGTTATTCCCCATGATGCTCCTGCTGCCTCTCCCTGCAGTTTTTCCATCACAGCAGCCCCTGATACCCACATTTCCTTCCTATAAAGCCAGGAAACTCCTGAATGGAGGAAGTTTCTCTCCTAGGACAGCATGATTGATTCTTGCAGTTTTTCCTTGACCCACAACCTACAAGTGCCATTTTCAGCCTGTTTTGTAGGGAGAATTCCCAGGGGAGCATCCTGTCTGCCTCACCTTATTTATTCCCCAGTGAGTTCCTGATCCACTGACCAGTTCCAGACTTATCCCACAGAGCTGGCAGTCCCCAAAATAGTACATTTTATCAAGGAGAAAGACTTCAACTCAACTTGAGAGAGAGAGAAACCAGTGAGTTATGCCTGACACTGATAACCCCCACGGGAAAGGGCCATTGAAAATCAGATTTTATGAGACCTGTTGCTTACAATAGGCTTCGGACATCAGCACCTGGATTTTTAGTCCCCTCATTATCATTTCTCTTATCTCAGTTAAATGAGATATCTGTGGAATATGAAAGATTTTCCAAAGACCTTGAACTAAGGAAATGCCTCTTCTCTGTAGCTTTTTAATTATAGCTTAGCTAAGTTTTTGCTTTCATGATAAAGGTAGAAAAGTAGGCTCTGGTGGCTCATTTTTGCTTAACTAGCTAAGTAATAACTCCTTGAGGATTGGAGCCCTCGTTCCTTTTCCATTCCCTGTGAGGAGGGGCAGTTGTGCTTATTGCAAGTGGCTCTGCTTGGGATGAAGGTCAAGAATTATAGTTGGGAAAATAATGGGAATAAAAAGTTTAAAGTCTGCATTGTCACTCCTGGTATGGCTGCTGTTCTAATTCCCTAATAATTGCAGTAGATTTTTACAGTTCTTCTCCTTTGCAGCAAAGTTACCTCCAATGATTTGGACACATCTCAGTTTTGGGGGCAGTTCTGGGCCCCCCATGACAGGACAGACACCAAGGGGCTGGAGCATGTCCAGGGAAAGGCACAGAGCTGGGGAAGGGGCTGGAGCACCAGGAAGGGCTGAGGGAGCTGGGAAAGAGGCTCAGCCTGGAGAAAAGGAGGCTCCAGAGGAAATTTTCCTCTCTGGAATTCCCTGACAGGAAGGGGCAGCCAGGTGGGATCGGGATTTCTCCCAGGGAACAGAGACAGGATGAGAGGGTACAGCCTCAAATTATGCCAGGGGAGGTTCAGGTTGGATATTTGGAACAATTCCTTGATGGAAAGGGCTGTTCAGCCCTGGCACAGCTGCCCAGGGCAGTTGTAGAATCCCCATCCCTGAAGTGTTCAAAAAACCTGTGGATTTGGCACTTGACATTCAGTGCTGACCATGGTGGTGATGTTGGTTGATGGTTGGACTCAATGGTCATAAAAGTATTTTTCAGCCTTAACAGTTCTGGGATTCTATACCAGATTTTGATTTTTCAGCACTTGCTGAAACACTTAAGTCCTAGAGAGGTAAAACAGCATTTTTCTTTGCTGTCCAGGATCAACATGTTTTAAGGTGTTTCTCCTGTTTCTTTCTTGTATTCCACTTTATTTCAATTATTAAGACTTCTGATAGTTAACATTACTGTCAATTTTTCCATTATAATTATTGGATTGTTCTATTTGGTGTTTAGATGAGATGATATCAGCAAATCTTTGGGATGTCAGTGGGTTTTAATTCTGTGACCATTGCTAAACTCAGACTTTTATTTTTATGTAAGACTGTTAATATTGCTTAAAATAGTTACACCTTTTGCATTCAGTATGTTTCCTGCTATCAAAAAAAAAAAAAATTAATTACATGGTTTTTTTGTGTTTTGGCCTAGGAAGAAGAGGATGAAATGGACAGTTATCAGGTAAAAATTTGAAATTCTCTCCTACAAATGCAAAAGTTTTCAGATTAAAGCATATTAGAGGTGGAACTGAATGTTCTTAGGGATACTCAGGTGTTTGGGGGTTTTTTTTAAAGGACATGAGCACTTGAAAAAAATCATTTTAAGGGCACATTTGCAGATGCCATAAGAGTGGGATGGTGTGGGGTAGGGATGGATTCCTGACATGAGGCTGCTAAACACTGAGGGGAGTGGTGAGGACTGGGATTTCCAGCTCCAGTGGTTAGTGAGTTTTTGAGTAGTTTGAGGACAAAGAATTGTATAAAATGAAGGGGTTTTTTTCAGCTGGGTAGTACAGAAAAAAAGCAAAAGAGTTGGCAAGCAAAAATATTTCGGATAAGATCTGGAAAGTTGAAGGGTTTGGATGTGTCTTCATCTTCTGCTTGGGTGTAGGATGAGCAGAAGGGTTTGTAGAAAATGTGCAAACCACAATCAGGAAACCTTGGCTTTCCTGGGGCAATATTTAATGTGGTTTTTTTCCCCTTTTTAGGACAGGGATTTGGAGAGGCTCCGTCGGAAGTGGCTCTGTGCCTTAACAAAGCGCCAGGAGTACCTTGATCAGCAGCTGCAGAAACTCGTGGGGAAGCCTGGTAAGGAAAATGCTGTTAAAGGCAAAAGGTTGAGAGATGGGCACACACTTTTTATCTCAATATGTTGTCAAATTTAGAAAAGATGTCCATGGAGAGTTGGATCTCTGAACTCAGCAGTAATTTGCTTTTTTGGGGGCGTGAAGTTAAAGCTGGAGAAGCCTCTATGAAATTGTTTGTTGGTTTGAGGTGTTTCTTTGTGTGCTGGGTTGTGAGCAGAGCAGGTTTATTCTGTCATGGGGGGTAGAAAGTCCCTGCCATGTGCCAGAGGCACTCAGAGCTGCTCTGCTGTCCTGACTGCCCTCCTGACATCTTGCAGACAAAACCGAGGACGACGCGGATCGGGAGGCTCAGCTCCTGGAGATGAGGCTGACCCTCACAGAGGAAAGGAATGCTGTGATGGTTCCTTCTGCTGGCAGTGGGATCCCTGGAGCTCCAGCAGAGTGGTAGGAACATCCATTCCCTGAGGAGGGATATAAAAATAATGCACAGCCCATTCCTGCCTTTGGATTGTGGCCATTTTTTTTTTCTCTCTTCAATCTGGCCTCTGTACCCTGCATGAGCAAAGTTGTTAAAATTAGGCCTCTTGCTTAAATTATTTTATCAGGTTGTGTCTCTGAAATCCAGAAATGCTGTTTGGTAAACGATGCTGTTATTGATCAGGGTGTAATTATAACCTTCTGAAAAAAAAGGAATCAATATTTATTACCACTGCACTTGCCATTTAAAAAAATTAGCTAATATGTTAACCACCTAGTTCATTCACTTAAAAGGCTGCCCTCTCATCATAAAACTGCATCTCCAGGAGCATTTTGTTGCACTCCTGGTTTGAGAACAAACTCTGTTTAGTCAGCAAGTGTTCCATGTAATTTTCTGAACATTAAAAATAGTAGAGAGCACTAGACTGAGACTGCTGTGCTGGATCAGCTGTGAGCAACAACTGCAGATAAGGATTTGGGGTTGTTTCACCTCCAAGTCAACTTCAGTTCCTTGAAACTTCCTGAATATCTTTTCTGAGCGAGCCTCTAACAGTATTTATTGATGGAATTGAGTGTCATGGAGTTTGAAGCTGAAGTTTGTCAGAGCTTCTAAAACATAATAAAAATATCAAGTTCTTGTTGGAAAGACATAACTTTCACATCAGTGTGTTTCATTAGGTTTGAAAACAGGGGGGGAGCTGCAGGAAACTTGCTCCAGGAAGAATCTGGTTTGCACCAGAGGGAATGTTCAGTATGATTCAAGCACTTAATATATTACAAGGCTCTTGTTCACTATAAATTCATCAGTTTTGGGTCAAGATGTGTTTTGTAAGAAAGAGTAATAACTGTGTGGAGTGGCAGCATCAGTGTTAGTTTAAAAACTTTGAGACTGGCTTTTCTGATTTCCCCATTTTCCCTGCTATCACTAAAGTAGAGGGGTTTGTGTTTCATGAATGTGTGTGTCAGATTAAATAAATTTAACTTTGCTATTAGCATTTAGGAGAGAGAAAACACTTCAGAAAGCAGAGGTCAAAGAAGATAATAATTCTAAGAGAGCTGATATAAAAGAAATACTAATTTATTTGAGTCTCTTGGAATCTGCAGCAGTAAATTAAAATAAAAGATGTTTGCCAAGGTTATCAATGGTCTGGCTAAAAATTGCAGACTGAATGCAGTGTCCTGGGGGTTTGGACCACCAGGGACGTGTGCTGGGTAAATCTCTCTTACTTTAAATGCCACCATTGTCCCTGTGTTGTATTTTAGGACTCCTGTGGCTGGTATGGAAACCCACATTCCTGTTATATTCCTTGACTTGAATGGTAAGTGGTCCTTAAGATGGCAGAGTAATTTGGAAACAAACTTTGTCCAGCCACTGAGGTTTCAGAATTGAAGCAAGCTCTTAAAATTAACCATAGCCTGGAATGGCAGATGGATGTATTGGAGAAGTGTCCATTTTTCCTGAAACATATTGCTTAATGTTTTAAAATAAGCAATATTGTGTATGGAAGAAATTGTAGGGTTTTAATAATCCCATTTCAGTGCATCCCAATGCAAGATCCAGTTTGAACAATGTATTTGTCACATGCTCCTACCAAAGATGGGAAGTTGGAACCAAGAAGCTCCAAAAAAATCCAGGAAGTAATCAGTTAAACAAATCCTTGATAGGATGTTTAAAAGAAAGTTAACATTTGGATGAGAGGTGTCAGGTGAGAAGGGGAGGTGACACTCAGCCTGTTGGGAGGAGACCTGGGCTGCAATCCTCTGGCACTGGTGGTTTGTGCACCTGGAACAGCACATCCATGGATCCAATGGCTTCAGAGAGGAGCTGGTTAATAATTCATGGACAGGGACTCTAGGCAGGACAGGTTGAGCTTCTCAGAAGCCAGATTAAGAGTTTGTTTAATCATGATCTAAAAGTACTGTGTTTCCTCCTGTTCAACCACCAGTTTATCTTAACAGCACCGCATATTTAATGCCAAATGAGCTGAAAATTCACCTGTGGGCAAGGAAGGTGTGTTTGCCATGGGGGGAGATTCCTGCCCTTTATTAGGCACCTTGGAGTCTGTGTCCCCAAATCTTTTTGCACACTTTCTGTATAGAAATTGGATGGGTTTTTTTAAGTGGAACAATTCAGCTTTAATTTTGTTGGTGAAGTCTAAGTAGCCAAGGTGGGGAGTTGGGGATGAAAATGCGAATTCATGGCTTGCTGATGTTTTTTAAAAAGGACGATTGCTTTGTGTTTCCTCACCTTCCACATCCCCTCCTGTTTGCAGCTGATGACTTCAGCTCCCAGGATAACCTGGATGACCCAGAGGCAGGAGGCTGGGATGCTACTCTGGTGGCAGAGGAGGAGGAGGAATTCTTTGAGCTGCAGATTGTGAAGCATCACGACAGTGAGGTAAGGGAAGCTGCAGACCAGGGAATTTCAGTCTTCTAATTGTTCTTTTTATATGTCCACCTGTGAAAATAATGCATCAAATAGGTCATAAAAGTGATAAATCACTTGTTTCTCCTGTGAGCAGCTGTGTTTTCAAGGAATATTCACTGGAAGTATAACCATGATTTGGAAAATAGTAAAACTCAAGGATCTTCCTTCATCCCAAAAACCTGAGATTCAGTTTGTATTTAACAAAGCAAAACCCCTGAGCAAATTAGAGTACAAAAGCCCCAGCTGAAAAAACAGTCAATCTTAATTGTTAACATTTTAACCTCTGCATTGTTACACTCATTATCCTCCATTTTGCCACATAACTCATAGTTTCACAACTTTACAGCTGTTGGTTTATAATTTCTACTATTAGGTTTAGAATCTCTGACTTATTCCTTACAGTTTTGCTCCTTTCTCTGATTTTTTTTGTTTTTTAGAGGAGCTTTATTCCTGGTAGTTCTGTTAGGGATTTTTTTTTTTTGTCCTGATTTGTGTTTAGAGCCTGGAAATTTGGCTACCAGGCCATTTTTCTTATGGCTTGAAGATAAACCATTTAAATTTTCATTAATACTTATATTTTAACATGCAAGAAAAAAAAAAATCCAACTTTTGCTGTATTGCTAGAAAGGCTTCAGCGAAGTTATTTCTCAAATACAGACTGGAGAATTTTTGTGGTGTGATGGAAGATTTCCACTGCAATCTCTGTTGCTCTCTGGTTTATCTTAATAAATTAGGCCAAATGGTCCTGCACTTCTGCATATTTTATAATTTATTTGCAATGATCCTGGGTATTCAAAGATCTTTTTTCAAGAGGAAATGTTCCAGAGTTTGAGCAAGTTGGCATTTTTAATCCCAACATCTTCATTTGGCAAACTGATCTTGATTTTTAAATGGCCTCTTCTAAAGTGCAGGGATTTTTTTCTTCACAGGGAGAGAAACGGAGAAGCCGACTCTCAAAATTTATGTATTATGTATTTTTGCTAATTATGCTTAATTAATTACAGTTAATTATACACCTAATTATGCTTATTAGAGGATACATTTATTTTCTTCCCCCCCCCCCCCCCACTTTTGCAGGTGAAAGCAGAAGCCTCATGGGACTCCACGGTCCACGACTGCATCCAGCTCAGCAAGGGGACGGCGGCGGAGGAGAGGGTTTACCTGATTGTCAGAGCCACTGTCCAGCTCAGCCACCCTGCAGAGATGCAGCTGGTGCTGCGCAAGCGCATCTGTGTCAACGTCTATGGCAGACAGGTACAGCTCCTGCAGCCCTTCCCACTTCCCAGGACTCACATTCCCTCCTCTCTCCCCTCATCTCAGATCCAGGTGGAAGCGCCGGATCAGCGGCGTCCAGTGAGGCTTTGAGCTGCCAAGTTGTTTTCCTGCTATCCCTTGTGTTGTGGATGATGACACAGCTTGTTTTTTTAAGGCATCTAAATATGAGGAATTAGTTTTTCTCTTAACCACTAAGGGCTTTCTCACTGGAAAAAGAAGAAGAGTTAATTTCTTGTGAGCTTGGAGTTTGTATTTTGCATAAAGGAACTTCTGTGTTTCCCTAGCCCTGTATTAAGTCCACACATTGCTGCTAACCATTTGTATTTACACCTCCAGGTATCACCTAGGAATAGTTGAAGGAGAGATCCCTTGTGTTAATTCACCAGAGTTAATCACTCTTGGTCCTTTATGTTTTCCAGCTGATGCTCTTACAATAATAATGTGTAGGTGAGAGCAGGGTGTTTGATAAATGGCAGGCAGTGAAGTTGTCATTCCATTTGCAGCATCATGCCCTGAAAATAATATAAATTCTGAGAACGATGGGGGAGGAAGGAGTTTGTTCAGCACTGTCTGAGAATCCAGCCTCCCCTGGCAGTGATAATGACAAAGCAGAAAGCCTGGATTGTTATTCTGGTTCCACATCTGTAGTTAAAATCTGAAGCAAGAGCAATGGGAATAGGTGTGGTCACACCCAGAAACCCTGAAGGCAACTCCCAGTGCTGGAAGTAGAACCCCAGTTCTTGGTGCTTCCATCAGGCAGAAGCTTTTCCTCAGCAAGGGAAGAGCAGTGAATTTTTTGTCACATGGAATGGGAGACTGTATTGAACAGATCAATTGAATGTGCCAATAATCACAACCGGGTGAAGTCTTCATCAATTCTGTTTTCTACAGATTTAGTCAGTGCCGTTTTTTTACTTTCATCCGACACAGAATCTTTGGCTTTCTTCCTGTTTTTCTGAAACCCCCCGTCAATAACCTTTCCTGGGAGTTTGTCTCAGCAGCATCTTTGAATGACTCATCTCTGCATTAATTCAACAGTCCAGTTCTTAACCCTGCAAGGCGCCAAGTCAGCATAAACAATGACCATGCCCCTTAAATCATTCTTCATAACGATCTCTTTGGTCAAGAATTTAATGTCTGTACTTGTCAATATTCAAGACAAGTCACCTAGGGCTCTGTCAAGAAAAAAAAAAAGCACCTCTAAAAGCAGCTGATGCTTGGTGAAACAGTCACCTTGCAAGGAAGGAAGTGACTCCTTCTCTGTATCCACAATAAGCAAGCAAATGATTTTTTTCCAGTTTGAAATCTTTGGCTCTTACATATTTATTGGTTAGACTTTGGAGTTTGGGCTTCTTTCATTGTGAACTGTATTTATTTCAGCTGGAATCTGTTAATCCACAGCTGGAATCTGTTAATCCACATTTTCCTCATGTTTATTTCAGCTGGAAGCTGTCAATCCACGTTTTCCTTGTGTTTCCTCCCCACAGGGTTTTGCACAGAGTTTCCTCCGGAGAATGTCCCCCCGAAGTTCCATCCCTGGCTGTGGCGTCACTTTTGAGATAGTCTCAAACATTCCAGAGGTGAGGAAAAAACCAGAGTGTCTCAAATTGGCCAAGAGCCTCCAATTTTGTGCTTTCCCCCCTCATTTTGAGCGTGCTGGCTCTTGCTGCTGCCAGCATAAACTGCGGTTTGTAAAAGATGGAGCCTGTTCCTTTACATGCTGTGACTTAGCAGCAGCCTCTGTCTCATCAGTGTCACTGTGTATTTTGTTGAGTGAGCATCTATTTGCTCAGGTCCTTGAAGAGGCAGTTTGAAGAGAGATGGGGGGGAAAAAGAGGGAGGAAAAATGGGCAGGTGAAGTGCCTGCTGCGGGGAGCACGAGAATCTATGGAAAAAAATAACAAAGTGGCTTTTTCTCAGTAATGTCTTTATGCAACTCTTGATTCCTGAGCATATTCCCAGTTAGATGCTAATCCTTTCTTTCCAAAGAGATGCTCTATCAGGGCACTTGTGAAAACATTAACACATGAAGAGCCAAAACTCTGATTGCTGCCTGGCTCTTTCATGTTCTGCTGCATTTTGCACTCTGTGTTGAAATGCTTCTCAAGCAATGTTCTATTTTTTTTGCTTCTTGCAGCTCACTTGAAATTTTGTTTTCCTCTCAGGTTAGATAACGCCCCAAATGTGCTCAAGCACTTTTTAATTATGAAATATCTGAATGCAGCCCTTTTGCTAATTAATGGCAATGTCTTGCTGTGAGACTCTCAGAAAGAGCCCAAAAAGCCTCAAAACAATAACCACGTACAGCTTGAGATGTCTGTGACAGTGGCAGGAGCACCTGTGCAGGTTGCATGGCACAAGGTGTTTATTTGGATCAGAATCTTAAATTGGGTATTAGGAAGAAATTTAGAATAGATATTTAGGAAGAAATTTAGAATAGATTTTAGGAAGAAATCCTTTTCTCCAAGGGTGGTGAGGCAGTGATTGCCCAGAGAGGTTCTGGACTCCCCATCCATGGAAGTGTCCAAGGCCAGGTTGGACAGGGCTTGGAGCAACCTGGGATGGTGGAAAGTGTCCCTGCCCATGGCAGGAGGTGGAATGAGATGAGTTTTAAGGTTTCTTCCAACCTAAACTATTGTCTTGTTTCTCATGATTTTCATTTGCCTCTGAGCTTAAGGACAAACAGTGCTGAGCTGGTGCCGCGTGGTTTAAAAATGCATTTTCTCTGGGAATGACATGGGAGATTTTGGTTTTATTTTCAAGTTCTGCCCTCTCTTTTTGCCTCCCCAGGATGCTCAGGGGGCTGAGGAGAGGGAGGCACTGGCCAGGATGGCAGCAAACGTGGAAGATGCAGCTTCAGCTGACTCTGAAGCCTACATTGAGAAATACCTGCGGAGCGTCCTGGCCGTGGAGAACATCCTCACCCTGGACCGGCTGCGCCAGGTCTGGCTGCAGGAGGGAGTGCTGAGAACACTGTGTGCCATCCAAACACCCTCCTGAGCACACACAGAATACCCAGCAACCCCCAAAAATACCCCAGTGCACACCTCAGCCTCCCAAAGTGGGCCTGTGGCAAAGATGCAGGGGAGCAGAGATGTCCTCACGCAGCTCCAGCATGGATGGGGCTGGGAGTTCCCTGCTCAGGGCTCAGTTCTGGGGGGCTTGGTTTGGTTTTAAGGTTGTTCATTGCTAATTCTGGTTCAGGAAAAGGAGTTGTGCAGCCTTAGCTTTTGTGGTGGTGTTCACAGGGGTCCCAGGATGGGGGAAGAGACGAGAATGTTGACTCCATGTTTCAGAAGGCTGATTTATTATTTTATGATATATATTATATTAAAACTATACTAAAAGAATAGAAGAAAGGATTTCATCAGAAGGCTGGCTAAGAATAGAAAAAGAAAGAATAACAAAGGCTTGTGACTGACCGAGACAGTCCAGACGGCTGTGATTGGCCATTAATTAGAAACAACCACATGAGACCAATCCCAGATGCACCTGTTGCATTCCACAGCAGCAGATAATCATTGTGTACATTTTGTTCCTGTCCTGAGGCCTCTCAGCTTCTCAGGAGAAAAAATCCTAAGGAAAGGATTTTTCATAAAACATGTCTGTGACAAGCTTTTGCTTTCTGAAGCTCTACCAATAGTTTCTGCAGTTGCCAGTAGAATTTTTGTCATTTTGCCCACATTCTACTTTGAATTCACCAAAGCCATCCTGCCAATAAAAAAAAAGACATTGATTGGGTTAATTTTAAGTACTATAACTTGATCTGTTTACCAGGAAAAATACAGGAGAGAAAAACATTTGTTGAAAATTGTTCTCCTGGATATAAATTATGCAAGCACAAAGAGAAAAGTTATGCAAAACAAGCTGGAGCTTGTGCCTGCCCACTATAAATTCACAGGGAAGTGTGATGCACTTTAAATATTGAAAGCAAGTTCCCTGTCATTTATAATTAGTTTAAAGGATTAAAATAGGAGCACAGCTAGGAAAGAGAGTCTCAGTCTTTGCATCTCTGTCATCTCCTAGAATCAAGACTGCAAAATCCTACACGTGCCAATCAGCAAAATACCAGATGTTAAAATTTATCCATTCATAATTTTAGCCGTATAAACTTTACAGACAGCAGCCTGTGCCACAAGGCAGCTCAGAAACATTTTACTTGTGTAGACAAAGCTATCCTGGGATGATCAGAGCTTTAATTCTTGCCAAATACATTTATTTTCTCCGTTTTGCTCTCTGTGACTGCCAGGAAGTTGCTGTAAAGGAGCAGCTGATGGGAAAAGGAAAACTCTACCGCAGGAGCCTGAGCTCCCCCAACGTGAACCGGGTGAGTTCTCCCTGCTGGCATCTCCAGCAGCTCCACTCTTCATTCTCAGGTCCTGGAGTCATGGAATAGAGCAATGAATTTCCTTCTTTTTGACCCCTCTGTGCTGTTCAGGTTTTTTTTCCCCTGAACAATTGATATTTTTCATTTCCTTTCCAAGTTGAAGGTTTTTTTTTTCTCTTTTTCTTTAGAAGATGTGAAAACAAGTTACAAGTATAAGCTGAACTTAAGCTTTGTACCAGTGTTGTGCATAAAAATGAGACTTCTTCTACCCAAAATTTGGAAAGAAATTATTTGATAGAACTGATTATCAAAGTAATGACAAATTCTGGCTCCTCCCAGGTCAAGAATTAATTTTTCACCTTTAATTTCTTGGATTTTGTTTCTGCTTTAACCACAGAACTGTTTCTTTTCAGCCTTACTAGTCGAGAGGCATAGTTATGAATTTTTGGAAGTTCTTGTTAAGAAATAATTCTGCTTCTTTTAACTCTTCCAGCTTTCTGCAAGCCGCCAGGATTTAGCCCCCCCTTATAACCTGAGCAGTAACAGGGTGAGTATCTGCAGATCTCCTGGGAAAAATGGGAAAAAAAGGAAATTTCTCTACTCTACCAGTGATTAGGAGCATAAAAAGGAAATATCTGTGAAAAATGGGCCACCCCCATGTGCTCCTGGATCCTTGGGACAGAAATAGGTTTGGATGTGCTGCTCTGGGCCTCTCTGGGGAAGTTCCCAGCTCTTGTCCCAGCCCCTGTGGGATGCTCAGGAGCATTTTCCAGCTTTAGAGCTCTTCCAGAGCTTTCACCTGGGTGGAGGAAAAAATTCCAGGAGAAAGGAAGAGGTTTGGGTCCCTATGTCAGTTCAAGTCCAGCTCTAGACAGAATAAAGGCTGTGAAGAAAGTCCCTGACCTCCCAGTGGTCCTCATCTTGTGGTGGGTGATAATCCAGCCCATTTCACTCCTTAAAAACACCATTGTAGACCCAAAGCATTCCTTTAAAAGGTGAAAAATTAAATTTAAGCTTATTTTCCAAATCCTAGATCAACTGAAGGATCTCCTCCTGATAGATATTCTGCCCAGCAAGTGTGGAGTCATTTTGAGGGGGAGAATCTGGTGGTGACAAGGCATTTTAATGCATAATGCAGTTGCACAGAATAATAGAATTTTGATGTAGTGCTCCAGCATTGGTTGCTAAATCTGCTACATCTGATCCATGGAGAGAATGCTAAAATATGTGCAGGTGATAAAGTGTTTGTAGCGACTTCTATTTGGAGAGAACTGTTGGGTGTTTCAATACTGTAAGGCTTTTAAAGCAAAAATTAAAGATTAGGATTCTTAATGATTTCTGTTTTTCTCCTCCCTTCCCCTCAATGATTTCTCTCATTGCATGTTTCAGAGTCCAAAGGTCCCAGCAGAGGTAATGCATTAGGTCCACCTAATGAGTGGGATAATAATTTTATCTCACTATAAAGTTGATTTTGCTCACTCACACGCTTTTATTTCCTGCTTTGAAGATGCTGCTGGTGATGCCTCATTTGCATAGCACAGAGCAAACGAGTTTTTCCATTGAAATGCTGTCATTAATGCAGTGTGAACTGGTACAAAGCAGAGAACTTTTCTCCTTGGGTGCATCTGATGGGTTCTTAAAGAGCTGGAGCTGTTCAGTGCCATCTCTCACAGATTTTTGGACAGGGTGAAGTAATTTCAGAAATAACTCCCTCTCAGCTGAAAAAAACAGACATGAAAGCAAGCAAATATCTAAATATCTGCCAGTGAATATTAGCCTGGAGATGAGATAAACATTGAGACTTTCTCTCAAATCTTGCTCAGCCTTTATGGCTTTTACAGTTCAGTGTGAGCAGCTCTTGATTTCTGTGAACAAATGACTTTAAAATAATCACTGGGCCAATGGAAAACGTGCTTTTTTCTTAGTTTTGTGGTAGTGCTCTCAGAGGAATGACCCAAGCTTTGGTTAGCTGGAATTTTTGGCAGTGGTTTGCATGAGGTTTTGCAGCTCTTGGCCATGGCTGTAGTTGCTGCCAGAGACTCTGTGCTGCAGGAATGTGGAGCTGAGGTGGTGGAGCTGCTCCCCTTGCTTGCAGTGAGCTTCAATCCAAGGCACTTGTTCCTCAGAACGTGGAGATGGGACCTCCCCAGCTGGGAATTCCTGGTTTGGAAGGGATCTCTGGTTCCAGGCCACGTTGGACAGGGCTTGGCACAGCCTGGCTTAGTGGAAGTGTCCCTGCCCATGGCAGAAAGTGGAATTTAAATTTGGTGATCTTTAAACCCTCCTAACCCAAACTATTCTGTCATGCCATGATCCAGTTTCAATAAGAAGATGAGCAAAAGCTTTTGTAATCCCAATGGAATATTTAACAAATCCTTAAATGTCCTTATAGCACCTGGACATCACAGAGCTCGCTGGTGAGATCAGTCCTGGCCAGTTTAGCATGAAGGACCTGAGAAGAGCTTGACAGGCAGAGTTTTGGTTAAGCTGGATGTCCCTGCCCCTTGGTGAGAAATTTGGTGGCAAAGAAGTCTTCTCCAGCAGTCATGGATTGTTATTTTATTGCCATTTTACCAGGAACTGGGTGTTGTTTATGATAATAAGCCAATCCCAAACAAGTGATTTAATGTACCACAGAAAAAAGCAGTCACAAGGCAGTGACAACACATGAACTGGGTGCAGAATATTGATGGAAGCCCTTTGCACATTCCAGGATATTCCTTTCCTTAACTTTTATTCCATTTCTTTATTTCTCTCTCTAATTGTTGTTCCTTGCATCCCTGCTGCCTTTACCATGGATTTTTAGCTTTGTGGAAAGGGCTCCTGAGTCTCATTCCTCTTATGTCAAGCACCATCCATGCTGGTAAAATTTGGGATTTGCTCCATTCTCCATCACTCAGAAGAGCCAGGACTCATTCCTCTGTTAAAAAAAAACAACAAAAAAACAACAACAAAAAAAAAACAACAAAACAAAAAAGGATTAAACAAGAAAATAGTTGAAATAAGAATTATAGATGGTGTCAATGCAACTACAGCAGGCAGCTCAGGAATTTCAAGAATTGACGCCTGGATTCATCTTGCAGACTTTGGCAGTAAAAACATGGATGGGTGGTCACATCCTCCTGAAGAGCTGGAAAAGTCCTTCTCCAGGACTGGAGCAGAGGTGTGGGATTGGCACATTTTGGGAAAAAACCACCTTGAAGGGTATCCCAGTGTGCTGAGAGCACAGAGGGATTCCAGGGAGCAGGACAACTCACACTGAGCTCTGCATTCCTGGGAATTTTTAATTTCTGAATTTACTTCAGAAGAGTTTTGTGGACTTTCATATTGTCAGCAGGACTGACCTGAACCTCTGGGTTCTGTCTGCTTGCTTAAATGAGAAAAAGGCAATTTTTACTCCTGCTATCACTGCAGATGTGGGGAGAGTGAGATGAGTTTGATTTCTCCTTGCACATCAAGTGATGCAGGGGTATTGAGTATCTTAGTCTTTATATCAAATACTTGGAGTGAATTTTCATGTCCAAGGGGGCTTTTGTTGGAAATTTAATTTAATTCAGTTTAATTCAGAATTTAAAAACTGAGTTGACTAAACTGGATGAATCAGAGGCACAATGAATGGAAGGCACCTCTGAGGTGTTTTACAGATCAGACCAAATCACATATTGATGAAAAATACCACAAGTTGCTCTTACAACACCTCTGACAAGAACCATTTTGTCTTGGACATTTGTCCTTCTTTCCCAAAGGCCCAGTATGTGTACCTCAAACTCCAAGTAAGACAAGATGGTGCCATTAAACCTTCAGGTTTTTCTGGGAACCAGAGTTTTTTTTTTTCAGCAAATTGACACTGTGTAAATTGAACTTGAATAATCCTGCTGTTCATGAGAACAAGTGCCTTTTGTCCCAGCTGTGTGTCCCAGCTGTTTGCTTGTGTTCCAGTGCTCCATGGTCACCTTTTCCTAAGCCTTTTCTGAACTGCTGAAATAATAAAACACAAGAATTATTCATTTCTCTTACCCAGTGGCTGCATTTTAATGGTCTGTCAACTTCAAGGAAAGATTTGTCAGGTAAAGCCTCCAGATGACTTAGGTAGTGATCATCCCTACCTGCCCTAAAGGTTTTGTGCATGAAATAAATCCCCTGGGGTTTCTCATGGAGGATGTGTGGAAGAAGGGAAGGCAGAGGAGAAGAAGGAGAAGGTTTTATAAAAATAAACCACTTTATAAACAGCATTGAAACACGTCAAGGGACATGCATTCTTCTGGTGGCTACTTGGATTTGTTAAATTAAATCACTTGACCTCTCTTTGGTCCCTTGGCAGAGAGCAAATATATTCATGAAATGATGACTCCTCTGGGCAAATGATTTATAAGCTTCCTCTCTTTCTCTCACCACCCTTGTTGAGAGAGAAGAGATTCACAGCACTTAAAAAATAATAATAAGAATAGAGTTAAAACTTTGGTGGTGCATACACAAAGCAGCACAGGAGAGTGCTGGGTGACGTCCAGATGGGAAACCTGGAAGCTTCATCAAGTTAATATAATTTATAATCATTTTTATTTTTATTTTAGTGAGATTGACATGGGCTATCTTTCAATCCAGCATAGTAAAATCATTCATGAATTACCTTTTCCCTCTGCTGAGTAGTTGACACTTCAGTTGTCTCCAGTATTTTCTTTTCCAAATGTTTCTCCACCTGTTGCCCTGATTAACCTGATTTTGATGGTTTGTTGTCATCTCAGAGTTGAGGGTCCCACATCTGACCTTCAGGCTAAAACTGATCTCTGCACTCTCTCCAAAGCAAATGTAGTTCAAAAACCCAACATGCCTTAAGTAAACAACCACACAATTTATTTTTTTTTTCTTTTCTCATTCCTGTTCTCAGGACCTTAATTTTATTTCTCCTGGCAAAATACTTAAAATGACGTAGAAAATGTGGTCATCTATAGTATCAAGGCTGAAGCAAAATTTCTGGAAGATCCTACATAAAAAAGCCTTTTCCTACAGAAAAAGTCACCAAATGCTGCCATTCTTTCTGTGCAGGATGAATATTCTGAAAGGGTTCTGCTGGTTCTTACCTACTCAGTTTTTCAGCATTCCCCAAACAGGGCTAGAAAGTCAAGATATTGCTTGAAACCATTTTACTCTTGGAACAGTCAGTGAAGGGCACTTCTGACTACACAGGTCATGACTCAGAAAATTATTTAGTTGCTCTTTACCTGCACTGAGTCCCTGTTCTAGTAAGCTACAATACTCTTGAGTATTTGTAATATTCTTTCTGTTTCTTCTTTTTCTGTGGCCTCCAGAAGCACTTGGGCTTGGTTCAAGATGTGGCATTTTGATCCATTTGTCTTTTTAAGTGGATCACTATCCCAAGATCCAAAAGGATCACTAATCAAGCTTTATATTCTCCAGAAATGAAGCTTTCAGATGCTTTTCACTCTTCCATAGCTCTTTTTCCTAATCCAGTGCCAACATCAACCAGGGTGATGACAGACTAGGCCAGGAGGAAACAAAACCAATATTTCAAGATTATTTTGATTCTTGTGCTATTTGGTTTGAGTCTTCTATTTTTTTATTAATCTCTGCACATGATAAGGCAACCTGAGAGAAATCTGCACTGATAGAAACACAAAAGCCCCAAAAAAAAATAAGAGTTTGGGGATGAGGAATAGGAAAGAAGCATTTTGTGGAGTTTTCCAGCCTCAGACACGACTCTTGGCTGTGTGTGAGAAATAAATGAGTTGCAGGTCAAAGATGATGCTGGAATTGGAGGCTCAAGGCATGGGCAGAGCAGGAAGCTTCCAAGAAGGGTTTAAACACCAAAGTCCTCAAAACCAGCATCTTAACAAACCCCTGCTTCTCCCAGCCTGGCCTCCATCAGCTTCACTTTTAGGGTGCCTCAGTGACCTCAGACACCCATCAGTTATCCCAAATTTGTCTTCCCAGGTGCAGCACTGGCTGTAGCTGGAGCAGGAGGGCTGAGGACAGGTCCTGCTCTGCCCAAGTGAGGTTACTTGGCTATTCAAAGCAGGAGCAGCTTCCCTGGGACTGACTTATAGATCCAAATGGAAATGATTCTTGCCCTGGGCTGCTCACCATGACCTTCAACCCAGTGGAGAAATCTATTCCTCCTATCCTGGCTTATTTATTATTTGTGAAACATTCATGACTTCAGGTTCCAGTTAAGATTAGTTTGGCTGCCTGTCATTATTTTTATGTTCAAGGTCAGATTAATTCCTTGCATCCAGCAGTGGGGAGCTACTTGAAAAACCACATTTCCCCCTCTTCCTCCAGGAAAAAATACATTAAACTTATGGTCTAGGATGCAGCAGGTCCTTCCATCCCTTATAACTCCTGCACCTTTTTACTGTGAAAGTATTTCTCTTCCTGTTACGTCTTTCAAAACACAAGCAAAATTCAGGTGTACAATAAAATCCAGATTTTGCACCAACCATAGCACAACTCTTCACCAGAAAATTAAATGGGATTAGACTTCAGTTTTTATCAGGGATTAGACTTCAGGGTTTTTTTTTTTGGCTGCACCATCCTGTCCTTGCAACCCCTGATTGTGGAAAGGTGAAGCTTTGCACGCTCATCCTGAGAACATTTTGCCACCTGAACAGGACAACGCTTTCCCACAAGGCCCTGAGACTTCTTGAAGAGTCTGAGCCTGGACTTTTTTGACCCACAGGCTCATAAATGGGTATTGAGTTGCCTTCCTCTCCTCTAAATTAGGTGAAGGAGAAGGCGCTGCTTTGGCAGTTTGATTTTGCATGTGTGCCTCCCTCAGGTGTTTTCAGGACAACCCTGTGGAATTCTGGTTTCCCTTCCAGCTCTACACACTCAGTTGGTGAAGCAAAACCAAGCCCTGTCCTGCATCCACATGAAGCTTCCAGCAGAGCCACACCCTGGACAGTCACTTGGAGTAATCATTGCAGACAAATTTATAAATTATTTTGCCTAGCAAGATAGAAGAATTAATAAAAAATGGATTTGGACACACAGATTCTTCACATGCTGCTGTGAAACAGTGGCCTGGAGTTTCTCTCTGTTAGCCAAGGCTTTGTCACTGAGCCAGTTTCTGGCTGTGAGTTTGAGAGGAAAGTTCCAAAACCACAGTGGACCTTTGTAAAAGCAAGAGAAATCACCCCTGGTGTGTGGGATCCAGGGGAAAACCCAACCAGAGAGCCCTGGGATCTTGGGAAGGCAAAGGAGCTGCTCTTTTCTCTGTCACTGTTTCTTCCTCATCTGCATCAGGCTCTTGTAGGGCTGAAAATAATCTTCAAAACCCATGTCTTAACCCTAACCTGTCCTCATCTTTTTTGTCCTGCTATCCACAGCTGGGATATTCCAGCTTTCTCTTTGCCAGAAGACTTTGCAGTGCCACAGTTGCTTCCTGTTGATGTGTTTAATTCCTCCTTTCTCTGACTCCAGGCACAAATATCCAGCTTTTAGGTCTTGTATTTCTTGTCTTGTTTAAAGCTCTGTCCTCACCCTTTTTCCTGGCACTGCTTCCACTTCTCCTGAGTAGTTGGACAAAATATTCAGGAATTTTGGGCAGACAGCACCATATTATTTTCACCTGGTTGTAACATACTCAGCTTCCACAACACAGCAGCACAAGTGAGTGAAATATTACAGCTGTGAGGTCTAGAAATAAACTTGCTCTGTGTTTTTATGCTGAGGGTGCTCATCTTTGCAGGGCTGGGTCTGCCAACTAAAACAGCTCTGGGGAAGGGTCTTTCCTCAGCTCTGGCACTCTGGGCTTGGCAGAGGGGCTGTGCAGGGTGTGTCAGGATTGCTGTGCTCCTGCTGTTGTACTAACTTGGAAAAAAAACTTTTGTTTTTTCCCCTCTAGGGTCGATGGGAGAGTCAGCAAGATGTGTCCCAAGGTGCCACAAACTCCAGTAGAGGCATTAGTCCATCTCGTACCTCCCTGCCAGGCTCTGGGCAGCAGAACCACTCCCCTGATCCAGGTAAGGCTCTTCTTTAACTCACAAAACTCCCCTGATCCAGGTAAAGCTCTTCTTTAACTCACAAAACTCCCCTGATCCAGGTAGGGCTTTTCTTCAGCTCACAAAACTCCCCTGAACCAGGTAGGGCTTTTCTCCAGCTCATAAAACTCCCCTGAATCAGGTAAGGGCTCTTCTTTAACTCACAAAACTCCCCTGATCCAGGTAAGGGCTCCTCTTCAACTCACAAAACTCCCCTGAACCAGGTAAGGCTCTTCTTCAGCTCACAAAACTCCCCTGATCCAGGTAAGGGCTCTTCTTTAACTCACAAAACTCCTCTGATCCAGATGAGGGCTTTTCTTCAGCTCACAAAACTCCCCTGATCCAGGTCAGGCTCTTCTTCAACTCACAAAACTCCCCTGATCCAGGTAGGGCTCTTCTTTATGTCACAAAACTCCCTGAACCAGGTAAGGCTCTTCTTTAACTCACAAAACTCTCCTGATCCAGGTAAGGCTCTTCTTTAACTCACAAAACTCTCCTGATCCAGGTAAGGCTCTATCTTAACTCATAAAACTCCCCTGATCCAGGTAAGGGCTCTTCTCCAGCTCACAGAACTCCCCTGATGCAGGTACAGCTCAGGGAACTTCCTAAATGTGGGCTAAAGTCACTGCTCAATAAAGTCACAGCTCCTGAGTGTCACTGAAAGTCAGAGAGTGCTTTCCCTTGGCTAATTCTTTGACTACAGAAGTCATCTTAGAAAAGAAGTTTTAAAAGTTAAAGCTTCCTTTAAAAAGAAGTTTTTAAAAAAAAATTTTATAGAAGGTTTTGGGTCAGCTTTGGAGGTTTTTTTTTTTCCCTTTCTCCAAAGAATAATTCTTTTCATGTTTGAATATTTTGTTTTTCCAACAGGTATTGGTAGCCTGGCTGCTTCCTACCTGAATCCTGTCAAGTCCTTGGTGCCTCAGATGCCAAAGCTGCTGAAGTCCCTGTTCCCTGTTAGAGATGAGAAAAAGGGCAGGCAGAGCTCTCCCCTTGCACAGCAGGTAAGGCATCAAATCACCCACAAAATCCAGTATTGGTGAGTGAGTGCTGCTGGGCTTGCTGGCAGAGAGATGTTTTAGAAAAGTTGTTGCAGAGCAAACCAAGCTTTTGATCCATTTCCCCTCCATCCTGTCCAGGGTTAGTGGAGCTGCTGGAACTTACTGGCACACACTCAGCCCACTTGGCTTTTTCCAGGTGCCAGCTCCACTCCCAGGGTGATTTATGGGCCTCCCACTCACAGCAACAATGGTAGAATTTATGAAGGGCACTTGTTGTTTGTGTATTGCCAGGAGGAAAATGTAATTCTATTTTTAATTCCTTATTTCATATCCCCACCCCTCATCCCAGCTTGTGTTCACCTTTTACCATCTTTCCCTGTGTACTTGGGGCAGTTGTTTTGTTCATTCTTATCTCTTCCACATGTCAGGGAAGCATTTGATTGCCTTTTTTTCCTTTTGGATGTTGTGCTGCAGAGCTCCCACCTGCTCCAGATGTGGCTCCTGTGCTCTGAGCAGAAGTTGATGCACAGTCAGGCTGACTGGAAAAACACTTTTGTCTTTTAAAAAAACACCAGATGAAATAGAGAATCCCATTCTAAATCATGTAATCTCCTTTATTTATGAGGAATATTTATTTATAAAGGAATATTTCCCTCTAGAGTAAATGTTGAAGGTTTAACAAACTCTTTTGAAGATGAATCTGGAGCCAGATCTGGTGGGAAAGGTTTTGGGATTCCATTCTGGCTCTGCTCTCACCCTCTTCTCTGCCTGGAGTTCTGGAAGCTCATCACTTACTAACTCAGACTTTTCTTCACCTCTTGCCATGCAGGCAAACATTTTAAAGAATATCTTCCTCCAAACAAACCCTAAAATCCCTGAACAACTCTTTTTTTTTTGTGGATGAATCCAGATATTTTGTTTGCTACAACTAAACTTGCTGTTACAAGAACCTCCCAAGAAGTTGTTTTGGCATAATAGAAATACTGTAAAATATTAAATAGATAGAGCAAAAATAAATCTACTAACACTTAAATATTTTTAAAAGAAATTTCTGGCACATGTAGCACAAATAAGAACAAGGCAGTTTTAAAATATTCTTAGCTTGATTGGGGATTCATTTTACATTTTAATCTCACCTTTTGCTTGGTGCTGAGGCTGGAATTGTACAAACTCCCTCATCTATGAACTGTAGAGAATTAAAATGAAGGTGGTGACTTTCTTTAAAGGTATTTGGGTATGGAAAGATGCAAATAGGTGCTCTTACAATTGCAGTGAGAGCCTTTCACACCTTCTTGAATCCTCAGTGAATCAGTGAGAGCTGAGAGGAGAAACGAGGCCTAATTTCCTGCCTCTAGTCTAACCACCTGTTCCCACTCCTTTCCTGTTCAAGATCAGTCCTGGATGATTTGTCTTGAAATCAAGTTTTAAACTACAGAGACATCTCTTTAATGAGATTTTAGTTTATGTTATGGATTACTATGGAAAGTCAACCAGGTCATGATCTCAGCAATTTTTAATAGGAGGCAAAATGCTATTAATGCTTTGTTATTTTAAAAAAATAAGAGGAGTGGGTGGTGCTTCAGTGCTTGCACTGGAGAGCAGCTCAGGGTTTCCATGACCAGTGGGTCTGTGTAATGTAATGAAATGTTAGATTTATTCTCTACTTTCAAGTTTTGCAATGGAACAAATCAGCTGCATTGCAAGTGCACCTCCATGGTTTGAGAGGTTTTACAAATTCCTTGCAGCTTTATCCATAGAGAACTGGGGCTTTTTCACTGCTGTCAGCAATGCCAGGGAATTGTGGAATTTCCTGAGGTGGAGAGATCCACAGGGATCATTGGACCAAGCCCTGGCCCTGTACAGACACCCCAAAAGTCCCATCCTGTCCAAACATTCCTGGAGCTCTGGCAGCTTTGGGAATGTCACCATTCCCTGGGGAGCTCTTCCAGTGCCCCAACACCCTCTGGGGAAAAAACCTTTTCCTAATCCCACCCTAAGGAAAGATACACAGAAGACAGAAAAAAAACCCAGAAGGAATTGCCCCAAAATCAGCTCCAGCTTCTTCTGTGCAGCACAAAAAATGAAGAGGTGCCTTTACAGCAAATCTGGCTTTTGAAGATCATCAATATCCCATCCCATCCCATAATTTCCAGTGCTGCCTCTTTCTAATGGCCTGAGGATGCCAATGTGGGCATGGGAGTTGAGCTGGGGGTGGTGATGGATGGCTGAGGGACACAGGGGGACATGGGGGGCTCAGGGGGTCACTCCAGGCAGCCAGGAACTCCTGTGGAGCTGGAGAAACTGCGCCACGGAGGGGACACCAACATTTATCTCTGATAATTTTTCTGAGATCTTTCTCAGCCTCAGGGAATACAGAACAGCACCTCCAAGGCTGTGGGAGAAGGAAATTTCAGTGCACAGTGGCAGGGGACATAAATGAATGTGCAAGGTGGGAGAAAATCCTGTAAGGGAGAGGCAAAGCCTAAAGGACTTTTTTGGCTCTAATTGCAAAGGAATCTGACCCTTAACTGGGAACTGCTGGAGTTTTGTTGCTGTAAAGAACAATTTGGGAGAGCAAGGTTCAGGAATTGAAATGACAAAGGGGATGGGAGGATCTGAATCATCCTTTCCTGGGCTGGGACCTGAGATACGGGGAGATTCAGGTTGGATTTTGGGAAATGGTTCTTCCCCCAGAGGGTGTTTGGGCACTGGAACAGCTCCCCAGGGCATGGTGACATTCCCAAGGCTGCCAGAGCTCCAGGAGGGTTTGGACAGCTCTCTCAGGGTGGGATTGTTGGGGTCTCTGTGCAGGGCCAGGGCTTGCACTGAGTGATCCTTGTGGGTCCCTGCCAGCTCAAGATATTCCATGATTCCATGAAAAGCAGATTTCCAAGGAACAGGACTGAACCTTTTTCCAGGTTTGGAGTTGAAGTTAAGTTCACCATGACTATTCCAAGTACCAAATCTCTGATCCTGTGCTGGTAAAAAAGGAGATCAGTCCTGATCAGTAATTATTAAAATACACTTTTTAAATTATTTTAGCAGCTTTTTATTTCAGTCCTGCCCATTGCTTGGAGCAGCATCAACATTAAAGTGGGCCAGCCCACCCAAAATTACCTTTACAAAGTGATCTCCCCTTGTTTAGAGTGGGTCCTTGTGCTTCAAAAACAAAAAAAAAAAAGCAGAGACATCCCAGTCAAGGTGGTGGGAGTGAACAAAATTGCTGTCTTTGACCTTCTGCTGCAAGTTTAGTAACTAATCTGGAGAATAATGAACCGCAATTAATGAAATCTGCTCTCGTATTCAAGTGTGTTTCTCAGACAGCACATAAAATAATTGAAAGAACTTCCTGCTCTCTAATTAGTTAGATTGAATTAATTTGGCATAATAGGATTCTTTATGTAACTTGCAGAATGGCTTCCGATGAAGCTGTTTATGTACCTAAAAGATTGGGTTCTGATGAAGCTGTTTATATACTTTAAAGTTAGAAAATGCCTCTTTTCTCCTTTATCTGGTGCCTTTAAATTAATTGCTAGTAGTCTGTAAATAATAAAAAAAAACCCCAACAATTTAAAGCTTTCTCAATGGCTGGAATTGCTTTTTATTTTCCCAGCCCATTCTTGAAAAAGCTGAGAACCACTGAGTGTAAGATTTGGAGCCTTCTGACCCTCCCTGCTGATGGGGAGAAGCTTAAAATCCTTGTTTAAAATATGCAGGTGGAGGGAGAAGCAGAGTTTCATCTGCCTGTACTTAATTATATTATGTAGGAATTGAAATCCCTCTTTTTTTATTCACATGCTGAGGCTTTCCCAGTGTGCCCCAAGCAGAATTCCTGTTCTTTTCCCTTGTGACCCCGTGGCTCTCCAGGAACTGCCTGTGTAATCACATTTCAGGGCATCACTGGGTGCTGACATTAAAAATGGACATATCAAATTCCACTTTCTGGGTTTTTGGCATTGCTGTGGCAGAAGGAAATTACTGTGGCCAATTTGGTGAGTGGATTTTGGTCACCTTCCTATCCAAGAATCTTTTTGGATGCTCAGATGTCTTGAGAGAGAGATCTTGAGTCACAGATTTACTTAAAATAAAACAAAAAAAAAAAGATAAACTCTTTGAATTTCCATATAATTCATTTTTGCTTTATGGTGTAGCCACATGGAGAGGGCAGCTGTCACTTCTTTCCCTTCCACCTTCTGATGCAGGCATAGAAATTAATCTTAAAAACTAATGAAATGCAGTTAATGAAAGGCTTTCTAAATAGACAAAACCCTTTTCTGGCAGTCCATTAAAAAATAACAGTTTCATGGATGGGCCTGGTGCACAGTATAATTGCTAGAACTGACATTCCTTAATCAAATGTAAATAATGTGGCCTCAGAGAACCTTCTTTAACATCTTGAAGGCCTTTTTTTCCTTCAGAGTTCCAAGTGAAAAATCATTTGGATGCTGCAGTCAGCAGAGCTGCACAGCAGAGCTCGTGTGTCTCCTTGTGACTCAGTTGTTGGTGTTTTGATTTCTTTCTGAGCTCAGTTTTCCCTGTCATCCTCAAATACAAATAGTTTTTGATGAGAATGAGTGTGGAAAACTGGCTTTGGAAGTTTCAAACCACTCGAATTTCTTTGTAAACTAACTTAAAAATGGGTATGAATTACTCTTTTAATCTGCCAGGACCTAGAAACGAAGTAAGTGAGCTGCATAGGAAATGGTGTGGGTAATTTTGTATAAATTGTACTAGAAGTGGGGAATTCTGATGTCTTATTACAGGCTGAGACATTTCACATAGGGACTGTGAAATAAGAGGGAGTTGTTTGGGTTAATATTTAAATACAGGGTGTGTTTAGAGAAGAAAATGAGCAAACACAAAAAAAAAACCCCAACAAATTAACTTGCACTGGATTTCAGATCTCCTTGTGGAAGGTGGGAGATTCTATATTTGAGTCATTAATGACTTTGCAATCAATTTTAAAATAATTTTCAAGATGAATATTGTTGGGGCAGGGAGGTACCTTTTAAAGGTGGAATCTTTTTTTGGGGACAGTGTACTAGGGAATTTTTGGATTCCTCCCTGCATTCCCATGCACACCTCGTGGAAATATTTTATCCTGAGTGCTCCAAACTGATTTAAATCTCTGTTTAATGAATTTAAATCTCTGTTTTGCTGCAGAAGTTCCCAGTAGCTGCTGTTAAATAGTGATGGGACCATAACATTGTCAGGGGGAGGGTCCTTGGGCTCAGCCACTCCTGTCTGGGGATGGGAAAGCAAAAAGAACAGTGGAGGTTTGGGATAAAATCCCTTTAGGATTGTATCAACCTTGGCTAAGCCATTCCTGGCATTCACAGGGCAATTCTTGGCTGCACTGGCCTGATTTGTTCTCTTAAATGCCACTGAACTTTCTGCATATTGAGTGTTAATGCTGAGGGATTTTCATCCAAGTGACACCAAATCAAAGGCTTTGCACTGAAGGCATCAGTCACTGCTGCCAGAGGCATTTCACAAAGTGCTTAATGACACAGAAATACCAAATGTGTTCTGCTGAGCTCTTTGAAGAGGTGGCCATTCTATAGATGTGGAATATATGGGATAAAAAAATGTTCATTCAGGATTAATGTTGGTGTCTCTGTAACTGGGGAGTGACACACAAATGCTTTTGCTCTTCGAGCTCACCAGTGTGGCAGGTTGGGCTCTCCTTTGGTCACCTCAGAGATGGTGCAAAGGGACCTCTCAGTGAGCAGAAAATGTCAAAAAAAAAAAAAATCTAAGATTGATAGAATCACCATGGAATCCTGGAATGGTTTGGGTTGGAAGGAACCCTAAAGCTCACCCAGTCCCACCCCCTGCCCTCTTCAGGTGAGACCCCACCTGCAGAGCTGCCCCAACCCTGGGGCCAGCAGCAGGAGGATGTGGAGCTGCTGGAGAGAGTCCAGAGGAATCCACAGAGATGCTCCAAGGGCTGGAGCCCCTCTGCTCTGGGGCCAGGCTGGGAGAGCTGGGAGTGCTCAGCCTGGAAAAGGATCCAGGGAGAGCTCAGAGCCCCTTCCAGGGCCTAAAGGGGCTCCAGGAGAGCTGGAGAGGGACTGGGGACAAGGCATGGAGGGACAGGACAAGGGGAAATGGCTTCAAACTAAAAAAAAAGTGGAGATTTGGGTGGGATATTGGGAAGGAGTTGTTCCCTGGGAGGGTGGAGAGGCCCTGAGGTTGCCCAGAGAAGCTGAGGCTGCCCTGGATCCCTGAAGTGTCCAAGGCCAGGTTGGACAGGGCTTGGAGCAACCTGGGATAGTGGAAGGTGTCCCTTGTCCTGTCCCTCCATGCCTTGTCCCCAGTCCCTCTCCAGCTCTCCTGGAGCCCATTTAGGCCCTGGAAGGGGCTCTGAGCTCTCCCTGGATCCTTCTCCTCTCCAGGTGAGCACCCCCAGCTCTCCCAGCCTGGCCCCAGAGCAGAGGGGCTCCAGCCCTTGGAGCATCTCTGTGGCCTCCTCTGGTCTCTCTCCAGCAGCTCCACATCCTCCTGCTGCTGGCCCCAGGACTGGGGCAGCTCTGCAGGTGGGGTCTGACCTGAGAGGGGCAGAATCCCCCCCCTCTCCTCCCCTGCTGCCCAAAGTGTGGGACCATCCCAGCCCTTGGGGGATTTCTGGGATGTGAGTGCACCCACCTTGGGCATGTGCAGCTTTTTATATCCTCATCACCTCCCTGCACAGAGCAGCAGCTCTTAGGAGAAGACAATCAAAGATGCTTTAAAGTGCAAAGCTTTCATGTTCTCCCTCACTCTTGTGTTTTGTCAGCTTGGTTGAAGAAATTCTGCCAGAATCCATCACTGTAAAAGGCTCCTGGATAAATAGATACATCAAGTTTAGCAGCCACTGCCTACAAACATTTAATGATAGAATTTGGCTCTGGATCCAGAAATATTTTTCATCCAGCAGTGTCTTCCCAGATAGTCCCAACACTTTGTTTTCAGCCTCCTCCCCAAGGAATTTGACTGCATTTCATCCCACAGGTCTGGTGTGGTGCCCTCTGAGGGGTTTCCTGCCCTGCTGCTTCTTGTCAGCACCCTCAGAATTCCTTTTTTCTCCCTGTTTTTCTAAACTTTGCATGGCAAATTTTCTGTAGTTTGGCGATCTGTCATCCTTTCAGGAGGGGAATTGGATGAGGAGTGATTAAAGCCTAATGGTTTTCTTTCTTTTGTTGTGTGATGCCAACTGGATTTTTAGATTTTTGGGGATTTGCAAGTTGTAAGATTGGAGGTTTTGGAGAGATAAAAAACCCAAACAAACATTTTATTTATTTGTTTTAAAAGGAGAAAATGGAATCAAAGGCACTGATTTAACTGCTTTAAATACTTTTCCTTATTCCAATTCTGAGTTCTTATTTCTGGATATTAAGGCTGGCCAAATTTTATAAAACCTAAACTTTGCAGGGGTTCTCCATTGGTTTATTCTGAGAGATAAAAAACCCAAACAAACATTTTATTTGTTTGTTTTAAAAGGAGAAAAGGGAATCAAAGGCACTGATTTAACTGCTTTAAATACTTTTCCTTATTCCAATTCTGAGTTCTTATTTCTGGATATTAAGGCTGGCCAAATTTTATAAAACCTAAACTTTGCAGGGGTTCTTCATTGGTTTATTCTATTCCATCTGCTTCCTGGAGCCCCAGGTCCTGACCCAGTGAGGATCTCAAAATGCACAAACTTGTGCACCCCAACCAGAGCCAGTTTGCTCTGAACCCTGTTCCAGGGGTGAATTTTTATTTAGCAGGTTTAGGAACAAGCCAAAACCCCTCCTCTCCTGCTTCCTTTTATTGAACTGAAGTTTTAATGTCTTTAAAAAATTTATTTGGTGACCCTCTCGGGGTTTTGTCCATTTTTTGTCTTTTTATTTTCTACCTTGAAGCATTTTGGTTTTTTAATGCCTGGCACAATCTCTGTATAAATAAAAGCTGTTCTTCTCTCCCATGTTTATTCCTCTTGAGGGTGAGATCAGTCATATCCCTGCTTTACTGGGCTTAGAAGGGATGCAAGAGAAGGTTCCTCACTCTTCAGCTGGAAGATTTCAGTGCTGAGTTCTGGGAATCACCTGTCTGGGAGCTGAGCACTGCCTGTGTGTTTGTACAGAAGGAATCCCTGGGGGAAAAAAATAATAAAAAAATAAAAGCAGGCAGCTCCCAAATTGTGTAATGTGTCTCCCTTAAGGAGCTCTGCCCCTCAGAGCCTGAACCTGCCCTTGCAGTGCATTATTTGACAGTGCTAAAGAGATTTTTCTGCCTTTTCCTCCTCTCTCCTTCTCTTCATGTTCCCTTTCCTGAGGTTCTCCACTGCTCTGGTGGCTCCTTCCCCTCCTGTGTGACAGCCCAAGCCAACAGCATAACCTCAGATTTATATCAGGTGTCACAATGTGCTGCTCTGCTCTCAGGAGAGGGATTATTTCAAATCTGCAACATAAAAACCTGAATATGGAGCAAGCGAGGGCCATTCATTGTCAGTGCCAGGAGGAATGTCCTCCTGGAAAAGGGGATGCACAGACCTGGATTCTGCCTTCCTTTTTGTGTTAAAGCCAATAATGCTCAGATCCAAACTGAATTTAGAGACTGGAAAAGGAGAAAAATTCTGGAGATCAAACCATAGATCCTTAAAGTTGGAAAACACCTTGAAGATCAAGTCCAGCACCACCCCCATGGTCAGGACCAGTCTATGTCCTCAAGTGCCACATCCAGGTGGTTTTTGAACACTTCCAGGGATCCAGGGGCAGCCACAGCTTCTCTGGGCACCCTGTGCCAGGGCCTCTCCACCCTCACAGGGAAGAATTCTATCCTCATATCTAATCTAAATCTTTTTTAGCTTAAAACCATTCCCTCTGCCTGTGTAAAAAGCCTCTCTCCCTTTTTTTTTTTTTTGACAAATTCCATTTCAGCTACTGAAAGTTTAGTTTTCCATCCTTTCATGACAAAGCTTTGCTTGGGATCCCAAAATTTCAAATGCCAGCCTTAACATTTACCAGTTTGCCAATATTTAATCCTGTCATTGACCGATTCTCTTCATTTCCCTCCCCCCAGGCTGTCCCACGAATTATGGTTCAGTCAGCCAGTCTGGAGGCCAGTGCTGCAAGGATAAAACAGGTGAGCACATCCCAAGATGTGAGGATAAAATTGTTATATTCACCTGCCAGAGGTGGCCAAAGCTTCAGCTGTTTAAAACCCGTTGCACTTGTGCTGCTGCCTGGCTGTGAGACAGTGAAATTCTGCTGGGTGTTTCAGGTCCTGGTAAAGCCTCCTCTCCTAGTCCTGCTTCCACTTTGATATTTGAAAGCATTAGCAGATAATTAGCTGAAATTTAGCTGGTTTGCTGCTTTAAAAAGGAAAATTTCTAGGTTCTGACAGTGTCTATAAGCAGGATGTGGCTATTCTAAGTGTGGAGCTTAATTCCCCATTTTTGCCGTGGTATCATGGAAAAACTCTTGCTAAGCTGGAGAGAAAATAGAGCCTGTGATCTCCCACTTTGCAGCAGAACTTCAGTCTCCTGAGCAGCACATCAGCTTCCTCCCACTGTGCTTTTATTGTCTTAGAAAACTCTGTGTTATCCAAAGGGAAAATCCAGAGAAAGAGCAAAGCTCCTGAGTCCAGCTGGACACCACCCTTGCCACAGGAAAGTGAACAATATGTTTTTAATCTGCTGGAATATTTTTTTTAAAAAAAACTTTTTTTTTTTTTTTAATTACATTTTACTTAGCAAATCTTTGGTTCTGAAATTCTAGTAATCCAGTCAAATCCCTCTTTCTTCAAATGCTGCCTGAGTTTCCAGTGGAAAAGGCATTTTGGGAATAAGCTGAAAATCCTGTAGTTTGGGACACTAGATGGGAGAAATCACAAAATTGTGAATAATAAACAAAAATGTTCACCTGAGACAGGATTTGTTCAAATCTGCCCTTTTCCAACCTCTTTTTTTCCACCCCCCTTCCTATTAGCACTCTCCCCCCTCCCTCCTTCCCAAAGAGATTTAGAGACATCCTAATCTTTTAGAGTACATGTGCTGGCAAAAGATATTGATCTATCAGATTTAGTAAACTTTACAGCCAAGAAATACATCACTGAAATGGGCTGTTAATCTCATGAGGTGCAGTTAATTTCATCCTCTGGAAGTGCAAGGTGCTGGTGGCTCTGAGGTGGGAATGGCATTTGGAAATGGGGACAGAAATGACAGTTTAGGTGCAGGGGGATGATTTATCCACCCTGTGGGTTAAGCCAAATAACTGTGAGAGACTTATGGATCATGGCTGCTTCCCATTCCATATAAATCCTGCTGTTCAAACAGCAAATGACCAGTCCTGTAATATAAATAATTCTTCAGTAAATATTGGGGAGTGTATTTCTTGGGGTTGACACTTCCCTTATTAATGGGAGGAGCGAGCTGACAATCCTCCCACGCTGGCAGGGCTGACTGGGGATCAGCTTCCATCTTCTGCAGATGGCAGCTACACAGGGATTTAGATAAGCTCAAAGCCTTGGTGCTTGCCAGAGGTCTGGGATCTGTGCTTTTAGCCCAGGTATTTTGGATAACACAGCCCCTCTCCCCCTGTGTTTCAGATGAACCAAGAGGAAGCAGCAAAGCAGCCGCTGGAAATGGCGGCGCAGACGCCCGAGACGGACAAGTGTCTGGAGAAGACACCCAAAGTGCCTTTGCAGCAGCCCACAGGGGACACCCAGGCCCAGGACTGCCAGGAGGGACCTCCCAGCCCCCTGAGTGAAGCCTCCAGTGGGTATTTTTCCCACAGTGTCTCCACAGCCACCCTCTCTGAGGCCCTGGCAGCGGGAAGCGACGCTGTGGCTCAGCCGGGAGGTCCAACACCTGCAGGGAGTGACTCCCCTGCTCCTGCAGCGGCTCAGGTCCCTTCTGATGTGCAGGACAGGGCTCCTGAGAGCTCTCTGGCCACAAAGAGGGAGAATCCCCCCACCTTCAGCCTTCCAAGTGCTCCCCCCAAACAGAGGGACAGCCCTGAAGTGAATGGAAAGTCTTGCACTTCTCCTTGTCCCAGCGAGCAGGGGAACGATGCCTCTGCAGCCACTGTTGCAAAACCTCTTCTCTCTACCTCCACTCCAAAGGAGTCAATATCCAAACAATCAGTGGAGTCAGCAGGACCAGCCAGGAAAAAGGAAACATCCCCTGGGGCTTCAGAACTGGGGTTTCCCAAAGCTCATCCCGACCAGCCCAGCGCTGCAGCCTCGCCCTTCAAAATCCAGAAGGTGAAAACATCAGAGCTGAGATCCTTCACCAGCATGCTGGGATCAGACCCCACCAGTTCCCTGGGCACAGAAGAGCAGCAGGAAGGAGAAAAGAGCACCTCCAGTGCCCGTGGACTGAACCACAACGGGTCAGAGACAGCAGAGGAAAAACTGGAGGTGATTTCTGACTCCGAAGATGCCAACGAAATTCCTGAGTGGCTGAAAGAGGGAGAATATGTCACAGTTGGCACCAATAAGACGGGCACTGTTAGGTACATTGGGCCCACAGACTTCCAGGAAGGAACATGGGTTGGTGTGGAGCTGGATTTGCCTTCAGGTAAAACATCCCCTGGGTCAGGTGGGAAGCAGCTGGTGTGTCCCAGCTGGCAGAGCTCATCTTAAAGCTGCTTTTTTGGGGGGTTTATCACCCACTGGGGGGTTTATTGCTCATTGCAGGAGGCATTTTGAAAAGGGGAATGTAAAAGGTCTTCCCTGCTGTCATCTTTTTCCAGACTTGCTCTCACTCCCAACCCCTTTGAGATCCCAACCCAAACCATTCTGTGATCCCTGACTGTCCCTTTTCAGTCCTTTCTTTGGCTTCTCACACTGAAGTAGGAATCAGGATTCCTCTTCCATGCAGCAGCTGCAGGACAAGCCTTGTGTCCACAGGATTCTCTCCTGGGCTTCTGCTGTGAGGATAAGGGTGCTCAAAGCACAACAGGAGTTGTGGGATTTAGCTCAAAGGGACATTTAGGCTAAATGAGTTGCAAAGTCTCTTAATAGGTATTAAGAGGTAATGGGATTTTATTTTAAAGTAAGCTTTAAAATTGCAAAAGACTATTTCTGTGTGTGTATATATATAGTGTGTGTGTGTATATATATATATTATATACACACATTATATATATGTACACTATATATAAATATATACATACACATATATACACTCTATATATATAGAGTATATATATAGTGTATATGTATATAAATATACACATACTATATATACACTATATATATATATATATATATATATATATATATATATATATATATATATATATACACCCCTATATATGTGAAAAGCAGTAGGAAATAATCATCCCCTGACCACCAGGTGATACAGATAATTTGAGGTTTCTTTCACTATCTCATTTGTCATCCCTGCCTGACTCTTGTCTGTACAGCTGTGGAATTCCCAGAATTTAGTGTTTCCAGGATTTTTTTGGAAACCAGGATGCAGTTCCTGGGGAGGCTGCTCCTGTTGATGTGGGAATGGGGTGTCTCCAGCACAAGAGGAGAGGAAGAGGATGGCTGGGATTGATCCCTGCTGGAGTCCAGGCTTCCCAACCCCTTTCCTCTCCAGGACTGGGGGAAGTCAGGGAGTGGAAAATCCAGGAGAGGTGCAGTGACAGTGAGAGAATTTGGGTTACCCAGGGCATGAAAAACTCCTTATTCCAATCCTCTCAGCCAAGTGCAGCATTCCCAGGCTGGGTGGTGAATCAGCACATCCCAGGGAGCCAATGCTCCTCCCTGCTGCACATTTGGGGTTGGAGCAGTTCATCCACCACTACACTGTCCAGGATCCAGAAATCCCAAATCTCCCTGTGCCCTCCCCATGTCCTCATCAGAGCTGAACTGGGCAGTGACTTCCCAGCTGCTTTCAGAAAACTCTCTGGAGTTTTCCATCCTGGAAAGCAAACTGGAGCTCTTGATCCTTTTGCAAGCTGTAGTAGTTCCTCAGTCTTGGGTTCATGCCTCATTAAAAAATAAAATAAAATTTAAAAAAATATATATATATTTACAGATTCATTTCAATTTTGGAAGGTCACCTTCCCTCTGTCAGGCTGCTCCAGTGCTGATTCTGTAACATCCCAGTAAGCAGCAGCTTCCATGGAAAAGTCAGGAGATTTTTGGCCTGCTGAGGACTCAGCTGCTGATGTTGCTGGAGTGTTTCTTTTCACCCCCTTCTGTTTCCACAAGGAATAAGACCCTGATTTGCTGGAGCACATCTGGAGCTTCCCTTGGGGAAGGTGGTCACAGAGTGGTGTCTTTGTCACGCTGCAAACAGGGATAGAACTCCAGGGACATGGAAATCCCAAGTCCTGGCCATGTGAGGATACATTGGACCCAACGTGCTGCTGGTGGAAGGAGGAAGGAAACACCCCAAAAGCCAAACCTGTGACTCAATATAATTTAAAGGGCTGTTGGATCTTTCCACCTTCCCTTTATGGATGGGAGTAATCCCTGAACAGTTCCCCTGAGAATTTTAAATGATCTAAAATGAGGAATAGAAAGATCTCAACAGCACCAGCACAGAGAAATTATCTTTCCTGTTCTATGGAGGGTTTACAACCTGGCAAGAATGACAACCCTCAACTTCAAACCCCAGCTCAGAAAGCCAAAAGCTCTTTTAAATGTCTGCTTTTCCTTCCTTCCCGGTACTTCGGTAACAGAAGTGGTTATTTACCACTCTTGGAGAAATTAGAGAGCAATTGGGAAGAAAGGACAAGGCAGAGTGTCCCATTCAGAGGCACTTGCTGGGGTTCAGCAGGGAGGTTTTCCCTCCATGGTGTATTTTTAGGGACCAGTTGTTCTCCTTCTCAGCACTTTTTCCTTGCCTCCTTCTCTGGGTGCAGTAGCACCAATTTGCTCAGAATAAACCCCATTTTGTAGGGAAAAATCCTTCCCGGTGAGGGTGGCCCAGAGAATCTGTGGCTTCCACATCCCTGGAAGTGTCCAAGGCCAGGCTGGACAGGTTTTGGAGCAACCTGGGACAGCAGAAGGTGCCGGGTTGGACCAGGATGGGATTTAACCCTTCCCAAACCACTCTGATTGTCTTGTTGCAGGCAAGAACGACGGCTCCATCGGGGGGAAGCAGTATTTCAGGTGTAACCCGGGCTATGGATTGCTGGTGAAGCCGGGCAGGGTCAGGAGGGCCGCGGGCCCCGCGCGGCGCCGCAGCTCCGGCCTGAGGCTGCAGGGAGCGGAGAACAGGAGGAGCGGGAACTTCTCCGGGTCAGCCTCCAACCTGGCCTCCCTCACAGCCCTGGCCAAAGCAGAAGGAGGATCCACTCTGAGACTGGAGAAGAGCCAGAAGAACGCAGAGAACCGAAAATCTTGGGCAAACTGAGAGATCCCAGCCCAGCAAACGCCCTGGGATGCGGCCGGGGGAGCCGGTGGCTTTGGGAAGCGAAACCAACCGTCCCAACTTCCAGTTGGTGGCAAACACTAATGAAGGGTTTGTTCTCTCTGCTCTGGGTGATTGACATGATAATTCTTTGCCTCGTCGTGGTGCTGGATCCTTCATTTCCTGTCCCAAATCCTGACGCCTCTGGGGGCAGCTGACGGCAGCCGGTTCCAGCGCGCGGCGCTGGGTGGGTGTAATGAGCTCCTTCTCTTCCTCCTTTCAGAGGAAAATCGGTCAAACCACAGATTCCCAACAGCCTCAAAATCCTCCCCAGGCACCAGTGCTTCCATGGAAGTGCTGGGCAGTTCTTGAAGAGCCTCCCCACAGCAACAGCTCTGTTGTAATTCCATAAGAGCTGTGTCAGTATCGTGTAATCCGCCGTGAAAGGGCAAGGTGGGAATGATTCCAGACGGGCAGAAAAGTGAAAGCAGAACTTTGTTTGGAGATAAAGAACCCCTAAAGTCCCTTTATTTACAGAAGCAGCAGCCCTTGGGTTATGAGGCTGGGCCCAGTGCCTGTTTGGATCACTGCCCCGTTATCCCACTCTCCTGTGGAAAGCAGTGTGGTCTTCCCCGCTGGTTTGTTGGGAATGGGAGAAAGCCCATGGCCAGCTCTGTCTTATTTTTGATTTTTGGTCCATTTAATGTTTGCTCTCACCATGACAGGATCCCCTCTCTCACTTGCCCCAGAGTGGCAGGACCTTCTCCTTGGCTCCTCCCTGTGGGCCAAGAGGATTTTAGCAGAGGTGTCAGCACTGAAGTGCTCTCCTGTTCCCACCCAGCCTTTGGAGACACTCGGAATTTTGCCAAGCAGGGTGTCTCTGTCCTCATAACAGGATCAATCCAGTCTATTTATTTTTATTTATTCTTTTAAAACATGAAATGTTTGCGCTTTACAATCATCCCCCACAGAGGAGCTCTCCCAGCACCATCCCGAGCGCCAATCCAAAGAGGAGGTGCCTCTGTCATCCCCAGAACCAGCCTCTCTCTTGGAAAGGGGGAGGTTTGGGCTGGCTTTTATAAAACTTGATTTTATTTGTGGCTGGTTTTTAGCTGCCTGTGGCACAGGGGATGTATCCCTGTCTGTGTGTCCACGCACGGATCGGCCAACCCTGGTTTTCCTATCAAATCCTGAAAAGCCACAGATTTTTTTTATCTTGAGCTGTTTATATCTTGTTTAGTCATCATGGGGGGATTGGACAGCCTGAGCAATAGATGTTTTATCTACGTGGGGACTATTTAGGATGCTAAATTAATGATTAAACTTTAATATCTCTGCAGTCGCTGCCCGTGGGTATCCAAGTGCCTTAAACATCTGGTTCCGAGGTCCAAGGGAAAGCTCCATTGGTATCAAAGGAGATAGGGATGCTTAGTGAAGGAGATAATTATGCTGATTTACTGTAATTAATATCATTTATGCAGAAGGAATAAAATTAAAATAGAAACTAATCTGTAGCAGAAATAAGCGGGCTGGGTTCCAATGCAGCCTGCGTAGAACTGCCAGGGGTTGTGTATCCTTCCAGCTTGGTGTAAGTAGTTTCAGTGTTTCCTAAATTTTCCTTGAGAAATCTTAATATAAAATGTACAGAGCAGCTTTTTAAAGATATTTTTAGTGTACAGTTTTCCCTCTTTTTCCCTTTGCACGAAGCTCCTGTCCATCCACACCACGATGGGGGAGGAATTTGGTAGTAAAGAATTCTGATGCTGAAATCCCGGGTTTTAACATTAAAACCGGTTTTATGAACACAACCCATACAGTGAAACTCTTTGTTTTGGGGTCTGAGGAGTCTTGCCAATGAAAGACCACCCACTAATTAATTAGATGCCTCTTACACTGCCTTGTTGGTTCCCTGAACTCCACCCTGACCGTGTTTTTAATTGCACTTTGTTCTGATGCGCTGCCGGAAGAAGCTGACGCGAAGCAGCCCCTCCCCAGAGTTGTGTGTTTTTAGTCTCAGCATTTCAGATACTTGGGTTTAGGGATGTCTTTAAAACTCCTCCCTGCTTGCTCAGTGGCCCCTTTGGGGGAGATGCAAAGGGAGGAACCTCCAAGTCCTTTTGAAGCCTCTTTTCTTGTGCTGGAAATCCAGGATTTCCCCAGGGAAAGGTGTCCAGGCTGCAGGAGAGAAGGGGAGGAGCTGGGTTGGTGGTTCCCTGTTTCTGCTGCTGGTTATAAACTCCTCTGGCCTGTTTGGGCTCCAGCCCTGGCCATGGTTTGGTGTTTGCACACCTGGGACACGTGGCCAGGGGCTGGATTCCCTCTCCTCCCACCCTCAGTTGTGCTGCAGAACCACAGAGAGGGATGTGGAGGGTGCTTAGAGCAGCCCACACCTGCTGGGATAGCTATGGGACATCCCTCCTCTGGGATAACTATGGGATATCCCTCCTCTGGGATAGCTATGGGATATCCCTCCTCTGGGATAGCTATGGGACATCCCTCCTCTGGGATAGCTATGGGATATCCCTCCTCTGGGATAGCTATGGGACATCCCTCCTCTGGGATAGCTATGGGACATCCCTCCTCTGGGATAGCTATGGGACATCCCTCCTCTGGGATAACTGCTCCTGCAAGCAAATCTGTCCAGCAGGGCTGGGGTGGTTCCGGGAAGAGCACGAGGAGCCCACGGTGCCTTCATGGTGGGAGGACCTTGCTCAGAGCTTTCTTGCTTTTCTTCCCTTCCCCTGACTTTGGAAACAAAACCTCTCCTCACATGGCACCCTAAAATCGCCCTGATGCAGCACAAGTTGCAGAAAGCCAAAACCATCAAATTTGGCCATGAGGGTGTTCCTAGAGGATTCCCTGACTCTCTCCTGATCCCTCACAGCTTTCCTGGGCAAGTGAGGTCTTTTCTAAAGGTGTTTTTCAGATTTTTGGCACAGTGAGTGCACATTCCTTTACTCAAAGCCATCTGTTACTTCGCCCCGGTTAAGCCAGTTGACCAGGAAAGAGGGAAAAATGATCATGGAGGTAATAATATCTATTTTTTACTGATAATATTAGAAAAGCTCTGCTCTCAGCCTAAAGGAGGAGGTGCTCTTAACTGGAACCACCCAGCACTGAGGCTAGTGTGTGAATAGCTATGCAGATATTTCCAAGATTTTCATGCACTTTATACAGGGAAGAAGAAGATTTAATGCGGGCGAGTGTCGTTTGTATCGAGTGTCTCATCTCCTCTGGTGTCTCTCGGGGGTTCAGTCCTGCTGGCTGTGTCCCTGAATTGTGGGTGGCTCTCAGATTCTTGGGAAATGGCGTTGGTGGGTTGGAAAGGCTCCATCCCCCCTGTGTTTGCAGGGCTGGGGGTCCCTCCTCCCCACAGGGTGTCTGTGGCACCAAGCCAGCCAAGAGGAGGCTGCTCAGAGGGACTTTTTGGGGTTTTCTCAAGCCAAGCCACGCCTTTTCCCTGTGTTAGGTTCAGCTCTTGAGGTGTTTTGATCTCCATGTCCAAAATCAAGCTTGTTCACCCCGAGGTTCTGGCCCTTTACTGTTCCATGATGTTGTTGAGTTGAGGAAAACAAAGAGAAGCAAATTCTTTGTGGTGGCACTGCCCGGGTCCTTGAACAGAGGGGTTTGTCCTTGGCTGGGGTGGAACGTTCAACACCATCTCCTACAAAGGCAGAACCCCCCTCATTCCTCCCCAGAGTGGTGGGACCCCACCTGAGCAGGGCCTGGGTGTTGTCCAGCCCTGTCCGTGGTGATGCTCCCACCGCTGGTTCCTCCGGTTCTTTGCACAACATTTCGTTTTCCCAGTGCCTTATCCCGGGGCCAGCAGTGAGGGCTGCAGCCTCGGGGTGCCTGGATTTGAGGGAATGAGGTGGTGAGGAACGGTGTGGGCTGCTCACACTTCACAACACCTCCAGTGGGGTCACGATCAAGTGTCTTGTTGCTCCATCTCCCGTGTCCATCTTTGGTTTCTGCCCTCTCCACCGTTCCCAAGCCGTGATCCCGTTGGGTTCCCCGGGAGCTCGTGTGGCCCTGTCAGGGTCAGACCCTGCAGGGGCTCTGTGTACTTTAAATGAGCTGAAATCCAAAGAGACTTTGTAATGAGCTGTAAAGTTTTTAATTATTTCTGTACCATACTAAATGACTGTAATATTGTATCATACGTGCGATGCCGCCTGCAGGACCTGAATAAACATCTTCTTTAGAGATGGGATGTCTGTGCTTTGTTGCTCTAGTTCATGGCACCAAAATGTTTAGAATGGGAATAGTTTAGGTTGGAAAAGCTTCCAAAATTGATTCCAGTGGTTCCCCAGCACTGCCAAGGCCACCACTGATCCATGACCCAAGTGCCATATCCACAGGGCTTTTAAATCCCTGCAGGGATGGTGATTCCAGCATTCCCTGGGCAGCTGTGGCAGTACCTGACCACCCTTTTGGGAAAGAATTTTTTCCTGATATTCACAATGGTCTGAGGATCCCAAGGATTTCTCTGCCTTGCTCCAGGAGGTCAGTGCCTCAGGGAACTGCCACATCCAACCCTGCCAAGGCCTCAGGGCGATGAGACCCCCCCCCTCCACATTTCATGATGTCCTTGAAACCCCCTGCCTGGGCCACATCATTTCCTTTCTCTTTGGCACCATTTCTCTCCCAAATGCAGCTTCATGTTGGAAACAACAGGCAGGGTTTGACTGGGATTATTTTGTGTAGCTTTTCAGTTTATCTTGGCTTTTTTCTAAAGCAACAAACACCGCGTTGATCCTCCCCATCCCCACTGAAACTCAGCGAGCAAAGGATATTTTTATCAGCACTGTCTTGCAATCAGCACACGAAAACAGCTTTTTTTTTTCCTTTAAAGCCACTTCCCTTTTATGTTTTACCTTCTGAAAGAAAAAAAAACCCTCTTTGGCTGAAACACAGGAGCTGTTTGAAGCAGCATCACTTTGTTCAAACCTCGCTCTTCCCGGAAGGTGGCTGTGGCACCTTCCCCACGCTGCCACGTTCTGTTCTGCAGCCAAAGCTGGCTTGAAAAGACTCCCATCAAAAAGAGCAGGAAAATAATTTTTTTAAAACCTCCAAAACTAACAAAGAACACCTCTTTTCCCCGTTTTCCTTCAAATTAACACCGCTTCCATCGGCCTCGCTTGGCTTCAAACACTTTGCTGTGGGAGGCAGCAGCTCCTGGGCTTCACCCTGAGTGGAGAGAGGAGCTGCCCTGCCATGAGCTGGGCACATTTCCAAGGGCATTTTGCTCACCTTTGGACACCAACTTGTGAGAAATTATTGGTTTTTCCCTGATCAATCTGGTTTCCCACCAAAGCAGGCACAAAGGGCTGGGAGTGCAACTTTGCAAAGCACAGACCTCCAACGTGGATTTATTCCTCTTGTGTTTTTTAAAACATCTCCAAATGGAGCTTTTACTTTATTCCTGGTTTTCAGCTGTGAAGGAGGGAGTGGGCTTCATCCAGCATGCCAGATGTTGCCAGACACCCCTAGAAGTGTTTTTCCCATCCCTGCAAGTGTCCAAGGCCAGATTGGATGGAACCTGGAGCAGCCTGGGATAGTGGAAGGTGGCAAGGGGTGGGGCTGGATGAGCTTTGAGGTCCCTTCCACCCCAAACCATTCTGGGATTCCATGATCCCCACTCTCCTCTCTGCAGAAAATTCCCTCTGCAAACACAGCAGCTCTGGCAGCTGATGATGGGGAGGGTTAAGATAAATTTTATCCCCCTCTTTGATGTCTGAGAGGCACAAGGAGCAGTCTGAAAGGTGTTTCCACCCTTGAAGTTCATTATTAATCATCTGCACCCCTCCAGAGTTGCCTTCCTCCCTGTTTTGGGGTGTCCATCCTGAGCAAACGCCCCAGCCACAGCTGCAGATCCTGATTTTAACCAGGATGACAGGACCTGGGCACCATTTCACTGAATGAATCAATTCCTGTGACTTTGTGTCTTCTCTGCCACCCAGCTCAGCTTCCACCCCTCCTGCAGGAATTTCTTCCCACTCTGAGGAAGCTTTTCCCACCCCA